TTGACGCCCCGCGTCACCGCGGGTCGAAAGTCGGACCCTTCTCCAAAACCCAGATTCAATGCATGAATTATTGGCACAAGAAAAGCTCCCACCTCTTTTTGCTACAAGGAGAACTTCCCGACGTTAGTACATAACTTTGAGTGTCACATCCCTCAAATAATTATGTCAATAAAATTGATTTCACAAATGTTCTATAACCGGTTAGAACCGACGGTTCCGACTGTAGAACCGAGAACCCCAACCAGTTCTAGGTTCGCAAATTCAGAAACCAAATCGGATTGAACCGACCGGTTGATGGTTGAACCGAATCCGGTGTCCACTCTTATCGCAAAGAGTCGTGAACATGGAAAATGGGACAAAAAATCGTGATATTCTTTTTTGATAACTAAGAGGCGTTATCTGATAATTGTTTTTTGTGCAAAACAAATGGCAAGAAAAATATAAAATATTCTAATAGAGAGGGCAAATAGTCGGGTTGTAAATTCATACCTCCGAGTTCCTCTTCCTTCGACCTTCGTCTTTTCTTAACCCGAGATCTGTCTCTGCAAATCGAAGAATAGCCCGAGCTACCTCCAACCCCATTAATGGCTTCCTCATTCGCACGTTCATCATCAGAGGCTTGTGAGCTTGTTTTCTTCTTCTTCTTCTTCGAAAGCGGAGATAATGCCGGCAACGATGGCAGGTCCTCGAACCTTTCTTCAACTAACACGACGTCCCCTTCATCTCCAGCCTCCAGTTTTGGCGACAACAAACGCTTGCCGTCGCCACCATTTTCAGAGAGAGCGGGGTAGTCAATCTCCGATGCACTTTTATTGAATATGACCACGCGAAACACCGAGTCTCCTTCGTATCTGAACACTAGGAAGTGACCATGTTCGATCGAGTAGTGCTTCACAAAGTCTGGCCAATTTCGTTGGAGCCAAACGCCGTCGTTCTTTCGCAGCAGCTCCACTTCCCAGGAGACGCCGTTGGCCAGCTTGAGGAAGACCGAGTTCGACAGATTGCTCCCGTATTTTCTTACGAATCTCTTTGGAATTCCCTGTTGCATGAAGGACACGAGAAGAGAACAATTTTATGCATGAGAAAGTGTGTGCTCGTCCCGAGAAAATTTACGTATATTTATCAAAAGAAAATGTGGTACGAGCATTAAGTAGCCATATCTGTTATTTTTGTCGCGTGATTTATGTATCAAACCAAAAACTTTGGTGTGAATTTGGTAACATCTCTCAAAAGGGTGAATTTACAAGTCTAGATTTGCAGAAGAAATACAAAAGATAAGAGAAGAAAACAGAGGGAGTGACATTACAAGCCGGCCATTTTGGATGGTATCAGATAGAATAATCTTGAAAAAGTGGGGAGTTTCGGACTCGTAAAATCTGCCTCCCATCGTCTGAGCTCGGGGACCGTGATCGCCTTTTGCTAAATCTTAAGAAAGGAGTCGATGGTTTTTCGTTTTCTGGATCAGAGAAGTTTGTGTGGGGTGTCTGAAACGAAGACTTTGGGGCAGTTGATATGAAGGCGTGTAGCAAACGTTGAAGTAATTGCATGCATGTCCATCTTTTAATTTCGCTGTTTTCCAAGAAAGGGAAGAGCAAGACCATTCATTCGTTCATTGATTGCCGTCTCTGATCAAAGTCCTCAAGTGCTGCAATGTATTTGCAGCGATGGTAGACTCTTAACCATTGTCAGGAAAGGATTTCAGACGCAGCAAGAGTAAATTTCTGCCGTGCAATTTCAAATGAACCACCTACCTTGACAAACTCGGATTTGAACTCTCGCTTAACACTCCAAGTGAAAATATTAAGTTTCTGTTGCATGTCCCCATAGAAATGGAATTGAATGATTGTCGTGCAACCCTTGCAGACCAAAATCGTTTAATTAATTCGTGGTTGTATGAAAAACATAATATTGAGAAAATATTCTAATATATATTTTGAAGTTGACAAAACTATTTATAGTTGAATCTGATAATTGCATAGAAGTTTTTCTTACAGGAACTACTCATGAAGAATAGTTTATTCAGATTCTACTTAATGTTGTTTGAATATTGTGGCCATGAAGAGAAGTCTATATTAATCTTGATGTTATTCGGACTCCATTTGCTATTGTTCAAGTATAGTGGCTGACGATTTCTTCTCGGATATCATCAATGTTATTGCATGGATATCATCACAATAACAGCATGGATATCATCAAATCAACAGTATGGATATCAGCAAAATTTACACACGGAAAATATCGCAACAGTTAGTGATTTGATTCGGATTTCCAACGTAGAAAGTATTGAAGATTGTTTTACAAAGTGATTTCTCAAGCAAGACATCCTTACTGATTGGCAATCATTCCAAAGACAAGCTATGTTTCTTAATTGAATAACTCTACTTATGAAAATCAAGATTTGTTTGTATGAGCGACCGAATCAACAGAGATTCAGATCTTATCACTCAATGGTTACTCAATTTTCTTTTGAGCATTTGCATCTAACAGGTTGCTGGGAGAATGATCCTCTGAAAATTGTCCAACGGATAGGTTAGAAGTGGAAGAGTATAAAAGGAGACGAAGATGCCGAAGAGCAAGAGAGATTAAGAATAAAAAATTTCAAAGTTCAAAAGAGTTTCGATCTCACATATTTGTCTTTTGTGAGTTACAAACTATAATTCTTAAGAGGCATTGAAAGAGAGATTGAGAGATATTGTGAAACCTGTCACAAGCTTGAGTATCATTACTCACTGTTGTAACCTCTAATTGATTGACTAGTAAAATCCAGCCAATAGGCTGTTAGCGTGAGAGAGTGGACGTAGGCTTACCCTAAGCCAAACCACTATAAATTCTTTGTGCAATTTCTTTTATCCCTCAACTCTTGTTCTCTATTTTTGATAGAATTTTGCACACTTTTGAATATCATCGTATCTCTGTCAGTGTTCAGACTCTGATTTCTCTTGAGTCTGATATTACCCAACTTGACTTTCTTAATTCCACACTAAATTGTCAATTAATTTTTTTAATATCACATATTCACAACCCCACCTCTAGGTGATATTGCTAGCTGCAACACATGACAGTCTTTTTTTTAATAGAGAATGTTGGGAAGGCATGAACAATACTGACAACTTTTTGGACGTTATGATAGGAGTTCCACACTCACGGTAAAAATATTGGGTTTGATTTATAGTTACCGCTCATTTTGCACAAACCCATCACTGTCGCACAAATGAATGCAAGTTAAATGAAATTGGAGTGATCATTTCGCCTGACACACAAGTTGAACTTACACTAGAGAGGAATCAAGATTCTTGGTGATCGATGAGTGATTGAAAAATTCAAACTTATGGTGATAAAAAAAAAGGTTCTAAATTAATTGGAAATAAGAACCAACTCGACTAACTACCTTGATTGCAAAAAACAATATAATTGGTGTGTGGGATATGTAAAGTTTTATTTGGCGTGCAAAAATGAAATAGAAGATGAGGCAATAACATCTATAGATATTGATTCAAACGGTGTTTACTTGTTGTGGCTGAACATTCGTATTGGTTTCAATAGGCATCTTATGCTCTAGTGGACCTTGGGAAGGGTAATTTTAGGAGTAAAGAAGTTCTACTCTTTGGTACTTCCATAGGCGTGTTTTGGCTTTAGATTTGACATGGATTTTACATTCAAGATCCATATTTTCCAACTTTCGATTGTTGTATTTTATTTTTTTCTTAATTAGTCTAATCTGATTGAATCTGTAATACGTGACATCGCATACATATATTTCCGGTGTTTACTAACTCAAGATACCAAAAAAAAAAAATAGTCCGCGCGTCTTTTTCCTCACAATTCAAGATACCGGAATCTCTAGATCATGCATGTATAATTGATGCACGTACATCTAAAATTATACTCTGACAACTAGTAAGAAGGCAGTATATTGCCGAGCACTAGAGCAATGCATTTTAGATGCAATCCATCTATAAACATAGTAAGATCAAGTACTCCATTACATAGGCCTAGGAATTTTACATTCAAAATAGATTTCATGGTTAAAATCTGCAAAAACTACCCAACCCAGATTTCTGGAATTTTTGGCATATGGAAGAGCTTATACATATTTTTTGTTGCGGACGCCAAACAATCGAACAATAAAATTGACAGAATAAGAAAATAAATCGGACACCAGATTTATGTTGTTCGGTCGTAGTGACCTACATCCACGGGGAGAGCAGCACGGAATTCCACTCTAGATCAAGCGATACAACGGAGATTACAACCACACTCGAGTCACTCAAATACTCTCGATATTTCCCAAGCCCCAATTACACCCAATAGCTCACGCAGTGTTTAGCCCCACAATTCCTCACGAAATAATCTCTCAATCTCACGAAGGAATTATACACAAATCTTACCACAAGAATTTCGCTTGAACACTAATTTATCTTGGATGTAATTGCATGAATGAAACCAATGACAAGCGCTCGCGTCGAAAAGCGACGCTCCCAGGACACCTTCACAGCCACGATGAAGTCCTCTGCGATTCAACGGCTGCACCAAGCACTCACACAAAAAAGTGGCGCTTCAAGACCATATCTTTTTACTCCCACGAACAGAAGATATATATGTGGCCACAACTAAAAAGAAATAAACCCTTAATTATGTGCAAATAGCCACCGCCAGGAAAGTGCATATTTCGGTCAACAAAATCCACCTTTTGACTTTCCTATTTTGTCTTCTTTCTTCACCGAGTCCAACTCGTAGAAGGAAAGAAATACGTTCTTGATCGTGAATTCGTTACCGATGCAATTTCCGCATTATATATTGCTCAACTTCAAATGTCCATAATATCCAGCTCAGATTCAACCTCCACAAATAACAATTAATCTCAGGTTAAGTTTCGTTCATGGGCTCAAACTCGAGACATATTTTTTAACATTTTTCATGGTATGTAAACTACCATGTGCAAACAGCAACTGGTTTACAGTCCCGGCACGCTGCATAAGGGAGACAACCAGTTGTCATCATCAGTGTAACTTAGTCGACACCTTCCTGAAGATGGAGACTTTGAGAACCATGAGGTCTGAAGTGAGGAGCTCGAATGTGCAGATATCTCCTGCTTGAAGAGCATTGTCCCTTGCAAAATTGAACCACCCTGCAGAGACTTTGCCGTTGAAGCTGTTGGAATTGCGCTGAGGATACACACAAAGCTTGATAGGCCAGGTTCTGCGGCCACCTCTTAGAGTCCCCATTATGTGTCTATGCCCTGAGAACCTCCTGGCAAAGCCTGCCGGTAAATTCTGCACGCAGACCATCAGTGCATGTTAAATAAATTGGAATCGAAGAATGTGTGTGAGCTCGGCTCAATTTGGTCCATCTAGAAGATAAAACAAACTACAGTACATCTCGCAACTGTTTTGGGCAAATGACTACTTGGATTCTTATAAGGATGGTCAGTTCGTGCGAAACTTGCTTGCAGTTTCCAAAGAACTTGTTCTTTTTTTATGTATGGCATGTATTTTCTACATATGGCAAATGTATTTGGTATTGTCACTAACCGGAGTAGATCTGCGCAAGTGTTTTGGGCGAATGACTATTCGGAAGGATGGTCGGTTCGTGCGATACTTGCTCGCAATTTCAATAGATGTTATACCACTTGGCGAAACCATTCCACCGGTGCCTTCCTCCTCGCCGTCGCCGCGTGCTTCAGGGAGGGCGTACATTTGCATGGCTGTATAATACATCAAATCATCATGATGTTATATTGTCTACATGTTATTTTCTGCCAATGGTAATCTTCTAAATTTGGATCTCAAGCTCTTTTACCTGGTTCAACCTCAAAACTTTTGCCTGCAGATTGATCATGAGAAGCGGGTTCTTCATTTTTGGCCTGGCCATGCTCAGATTTATCCGGTTCGCTGGAGCTTGTTTTGAGCTTATGTTGAGAAGCCTCTTCTGTTTGAATTGATCTCGCCCATAGAGGCAAAACGAAGAATGAGGATTGGACAGCAAAATCCAAAATCATAAAGACCGTAATGGATTATGTCCATTTGGAGCTGAAGAGACTTTGATTAAAACAACTATGCAAGCTCAAGAATTGGATTAAACAATGTAGTTCAACAACTTGGTTGAAAAAATGCTCAAGGTTTCTAAACTTTTGAGTAGCTTTCCGACATAAGGAAGCAAAAGTGAGAATGAACTAATTTCCAATACCAAATGCATCGTATTCCAACAGAAGGCACAAATCAAAGTAGATACTCATATGAGCACCCTCCAAATCGTAAGTTATTGAATGAAACAAATTTTAATGTGCAAATTATATGTCGCCTACCGAATTCGACTGCATCTTGGTTGGCTCTGAAGATGACAACTCTGAATGAAACTTGGTCAACCTTCCTCGTCATTTCAAACACACAAACATCACCCAACTTGAGATTATTGTCTTGCACAAAATGTTTCCAACCACGGTTGACTTTGATTTGTGGCCTTCCGCTGTATATTCCAAACTTGTACCGGACCGACCAAAATCTCTCATTTGACATGTATAGATTTATGTCTCCACCGCTTCTGAAATTGGGAATGTACTTCATGAAAAACCTAGCCGGTGCACTCTGCAACATGTCGCATAGTTGAAATATTTCATCAGAACACTATGGCAATAGAAAATTTTCATTTAATTAAGGACACGAATGATAATCATTCTGTTCCAGAAACAATTCTTGGAACAAAAATAATCTATTTCTGTTCCCAGGATGAGTTTCTGAGAAAAGAAATCCGTTTGATAACGACCAAAAATTTCTATTTCTAGAACAAAAACCCGTCTGATAACAGCAAAAAATTTCTATTTCCTCGAACATAAACCCGTTTGATAACAACACAAAATTCTATTTTCCGGAACAAAAATCCATATTTTTAGAAATGGTCTCTAAAATGAAAACCAATCAAAACACCAAAACCCTAGTAAAGCCCTAAAGGATTATTCATTCAAATGATTGTGTTGTTTTTTAGGGTTTTAGGATTTTTTAGGGGTAAAGACCCATTTTGGAGGTTAAACTCGTTTTAGGGTTTTTTAGGGGTTAAAACCACTTTTAAATCCCTAAACTAAGGAGTCTTCAAAAATATTATTTGGGCACCTCAAAAAATTTAAATTTCACTCAAAGTGGGTGACCATAGGTATTCTAAGCCATTCTATGAAGTTAAGAAATTTTTTATTTTTTGAAAAAATTCACCAAATTTCCTATTTTCCCGAAATCTAACTTTTTTTTATTTTCCGGAAATTTTTATGAATTTTTCTGGAATTTTTCAATTTTTATGGATTTTCTGAAAAGAAAATTTGAGATTTTTAGGAATTTTCCAGATTTTCTATTTTTTTATTTTTTTTATTTTTTTCTGATTTTTCTGAATTTTCTAGTTTTTTTATTTTCCCGCCGGGACCGAACCAGTTCGGAACGGTCTGACCATGTTAGACCGGGGCCAAATTTATGAAGAGATGTGTTTTGAAAAGAGAAGACAGGTTCTTTCAGAAATGATTTTCATTTCTCGTCTAGAAACAGAAAGCCTACTTTTTTTTTTATTCTGATCTTTGGTCCAGAACCAGTTCTGAAACAAAAGGTTGTTCCAAAAATAGAAAAATGGAATTGCATTACCAAACAGGTTTCTGTTCCAAATCTGTTCCCGAGAACAGAAAACTAGTTCTGGGCAGAAACAAAATGATTATCATGGACGCCCTAAGAGTAATGCTAGATTTGTTAAGGCTGATTTTAAAAAAATTTAGTGAGTGAATAGTACGAGCGCTTGAATAAGTGGACCATTTTCTGACACTCAATAACATTATCATTCAACAATTGAATGATCCATATAGACTTTATTGTTCGTAAGACCACTCAAGAATTGTAACAACAGAGCATCTCACCAACAATTTTTTATAACATTAGAGACAAACTCTAGTAGCCTAAACTTACTCAAGCAGGCGAACCCACAACGTATGTTTAACCAAACCAACCATGATTTTATTTTCATAAGACTCCATCTCCATTTGACGCATCTTTTATTAGCTGATAAGGTTTAACGATGATTCGAATATCACTCTTAACTCTTAGGCATTGGCTAGAGCTTAGTGATTTGATTCCTTACCAAAGAGTGGTGAATGAAGGATGGTTGCATGAAAGCCAAGAAGAATGGATTTGGAGACAGGAAAGAAGTAGCTCTTTCTAGGGCCTCAGATTGTTCACTGCCTCTGAAAGGATGATACCTTCTCCAGTAGCCAGATTTGAGGCCTGCACTGACATCAGAGACACTATAGCTGCCACCACCTGAAATTTCAAACAGATGAACACAAACATGTTAAAGATCGGGCAGAGATTTATTAGATATGGCCTGTTCGGTTGCCAGAATAGCCTTTTCACCCTGAAATCCTGTTATAACTAAAACTATAGGAGGTATGGCGTAGTTTTGTGTCAACCTTTGCTACATTAATTGCTTACTAGAAAGAATCTAATTAACATTCGGATAATGCTTGATTTCCTAAAACTGTTTTGATAGACTTTTATAAGAGAACATATGTTTTTTTATGGGTCCACTTGCTTAAACGCTCTCTAATAATCTAACACGACATTTAGTACACTAATCTTGTGCATTGAGATATAAATACCGTTGCTACAAAAATGTATAGTTGCTTCACAATGTTCCAATAAATAGTATAAAATGAAGAGCTACCTCCAACTGCTTGCTTATTCAAGCGCTCATTTGTTTTCTTCTTCTTCTTCGAAGATGAAGATAATAATGTTGATGAAGGCAGCTCTCGCCTTTGGTTTCGGCGTGACTGATGGGAATGATCCTCAAATACTTCAGCTAACGTGTCCCCTTCATCTTCTTCCATTCTTGGATCATCATTTTCAGAAATGACGGGGTATTCAATCTCCGAAGCACTCTTGTCGAATATGACCACGCGAAACGCGGAGCCTCCTTCGTATCTGAACACTAGGAAGTGCCCTTGTTTGATGGCGAAGTGCTTCACAAACTCTGGCCATCCTCTTCGGAGAAAAGCGCCGTCGTTTCCTCTCAGCAGTTCCACTTCCCAAACATCACCGCTGGCTACCTGGAGGAAGACCAAGTTCGACAGATTGCTCCCATATTTTCTCACGAACTTCTTCGGGATTCCCTGTCGCACGATGAACATGAAAACATCGAATTTATGTGAAGTGCTAGTCCTTGAGGGACTCGTTTTGAAAGGGGAGAAAGAGAGATAGAGATTACAAGTCTTCCATTTTGAAGGGCATCAGATAGAACAATCTTGAAGAAATGTGGAGTCTCGGACTCAAAATGTCTGCCTCCCATCATCTCCTCAGGAACTTGTTAGAAGCTTACGTGCGTGAATGTGTTTGAAAGAAGAGTTGCATTACATTGAGGGTTCCGTGTCGATTGAGTTGCGTGTATCCTTTGTTTTACTTTCGTCGTTTTCCAAGGTAGAATGCAATGCAACTTCAGTCAATTTGAACTGTTCAACGTCAAAATTGCTGCCATGCGTTTTGCAGGATTTGGAAGATTTTGTGTCCTTTGTCAGTCTAGTTTTGTGGCTCACGGACTTGACAAAAAATTGAGGAGTTGCCGAGTCCCAAGTTCTTCCCTCTCACGTTGACGTAGAGCTGTTTCTTTTCATTGGAAACTACGTAGACCCTTTACGCTTGACTTAAGCTGTTCACTCTCACATCTCTTTTGTTTGACTAAGATAAATCTTTAAACATAGAGAAACCCAAATAGTTGGACAAACAGAACAGAGAACTATACCTTGATGTTGTTGTATCTTTTTGCTTGGGATGGAGGGTACACTTTCCTAAATGGCTCATTCAGTGGGTCATCAATGGCTGTACTTGCTTTCATCTTCTTCCAAGTTCTGCGTCGCCTTGAAAAACATGATGGTTGTTCTTTCCTTTTCTCGAATTCCGTTTTCGAGTGACAAATCCCGCTCAATCTCATCATGCAGGCTGCATTTTTTGCCATCTCCATCCCTAGCTTGATATTGGTCGATCAGGACGCAAGTTCTATCAAATATCATCATGTCGAGTTTCCTTCGTGTCTGAAAACTAAAAGGTAATCGTATTCGTTTGAGTAGTACATTACGAAGTCGGACCTATTGTTTTCCAGCCAAACGCAATCATCTCTCCTTTGCAACTGTACTTTTTAGAGAGCGCCATTTGGGACCTTGAAGCAGATTGAATTGGCCAAATTACTACGCATTAATCCACAATTAGCTAAAAAATGATGGTGACTCCAAGAAAACCGAACTCATCTTTCCTTGAGAACAATGACCAATCGTGAGTATGAGTTTTTTCGGTCTCTCGTATCTTTAACTCTCCTCTCTCTTTCGGGCTTTTGCTCCGCCACTTTGCTAGCACCGGAGTCAAACAGTGCACCTTCTCTTTTTCAAGTCATTCTCTTCGCCTTTCACGGAGGAGGAATGCCAAACGTTGGGAAAATGCGATGGTCCACGTTATTTGCATTAGAATTCATAATCTCATGTGTTAAAATATGTTTCGAATTTGAGTTCGCGAACGAAACCCAACATAAGATGAATTATTATTTGTGGGTGTCTTGAATCGAGCAAATCGGATTACAATTTGGAGTGGGTGCAAGAAAGAAAATAAAAGACAGACAAGGAAAGTCGTTGCTGTCAGAGAAAGAAGAAGAAACAAAAGACTCTGAAATCCACTTTCCTAGTGCGTGTGAAGTCACGGTCAAAGATTTGAAATGTCCAACATGGACTTTGAATTTGACCTTGATTTTCTTGTACATATTAATACATGTTTCCTGCACATTGGATCATTACGAATTGAAGCGTCGATTTCTCATGAGTGCCGCTGGTGCGCAATACTGTCAGTGACCGCCCATAGGTGGTGGGTGCTTGGCCATGGGTCTTCATGTTGTTCGTATAGCGAAGCTTTGTTCGTGAATTGCATCCAAAAGACCAAGAACTTTTTCTGTTGAAGCCGATCAAATTCTTATGTTAACAATTTGTGTATAATTTCTTGGTGAGATTATGAGATTATTTCGTGAGGAATTGTAAAATTGGATCATTACGAACTGAAGCATCGTTTTCTCATGAGTGTCGTGGGTGCTCAATATTGTGAGTGACGTCCCATAGGTGATGGGTGCTTGGCAGTGGGTCTTTGTGCTGTTTGTGTAGCGAAGCTTTGTTCGTGAATTGCATCCAAAAGACCAAGAACTTTTATTATTGAAGCCGATTAAATTCTTGTGGTAAGAATTTATGTATAATTCCTTCATGAAATTGTGAGATTATTTCGAGAGGAATCGTGTGACTAAACACTGCATGAGTTATTGAGTGTAATTGGGGCTTGGGAAACACTAAAAGTGTTTGAGTGACTCGAGTGTGATTGTAATCTCCGTTATATTGCTTGACCTATAGTGAAATTTATTGCTGCTCTCCCCGTGGACGTAGGTAACTATGACCGAATCACGTAAATCTGGTATCCAATTTATTTCCTTGTTCTATCTATTTTATTATTCGAACGCTTTCTTCCGCAACATCATGCAATTTGATACTTATGGTACTTGCTACATTAAAACGAACTTTAATGTGCTTTGATCATACAAAAAGGTAAATTTTGCTTGCTTGTTCCCCCAAGATTACCTTCCTCATTTTTATATCCAAAACAACTAGAAACCCTAAATCCATCGTCCAAATCCTGGCTCAGCCCCTCATTTTGGACGTTGTCCATCTCTCTCTCTCTCTCTCCGCAGCCGCAAATAAGAGAATATACAAAACGAAACGTCCATCATCTCTACACTATGCCGTGTCGGAGACTTGCAGGACAATGCCCCTGGAATGGACTGGAAACGAGATGGGCCAAAAAATAGAATAGAACTGAAGGTCAAATGAATCAAGTCGATGTTTGAATTTGGTATGTTTATGCGCGACGACCATATATGATTGGAGCGGAATAGAAATCATAGCCCTGCACCTCATTTGGTTTGACTAAGTGTATTCTGCGAAATACTTGACAATAAGATGTTCGAATATCCTTTAAGCGACAAAAAAGTAGGGGCACGGAGCAATAGGAATTATGTTTCTTAGGAAAAACAAGCAAAGGGGATCACAAAAAATGATGAAAAACAAAGCAAATCAGGAATCAGGCATCAATCGATTCAATCCTAGTCCCCTTAAATCCTATGTCACCACATAAAACGTGCTCACCAAAACCTTTGAGGCATGCAGGTGCATATGCCGAAAGAGAAAGCAGTCGCTTCGTTAAAATGAAAAAAGAGGACGAAGACTTGATTATTGGGGGCGATTCTTGCATGCCTGCTAGGAATCCTACTTTTACGCAAGATAACATGAAATGCATCAGCTTGTTTATTACGCATTAATGAGAAATGCTTAAATGGCTGTCATTAATCTATTGTGAAAATAACAACCTGTTTTGGGTCAAAAATAATAATAACAAAAAATTGAAAATTGTTGTGGGATCCACTCTTTCAATAATTTGTGGCTCACAACATACTATTATTTTAATAGTGGTCAAAAGACTATTATGCTAGCAAAACCCCGCATTAAGCTATGTCCCCTTAATCGTCGCAACACAACTAGGCCTATATGCACCCGTCAAGCAAAAGGAAGGAAGTCGATTCAATACTTACAAGCCAATGCATTTCATTTTTTCTCGGGGAGTGTGCGAAATTAGGATTCCTAACGGGCAAGCAAGCATTGTCCCATCTAGTCTGTGTCTTCGTCCTCTTCTTTCACCTAAACGAATCCACCGCCTTCTCTTTTAGCATATGCACCTGCACGCCTCATAAGGATTCCGTGAGCACATCTTGTGGGAAAATTCAGCTCAAATGAACAAGGAACACACGGATTTAGAGCTCACAAGGTTCACTTCTGAATCTCTTAGTGAAATTGGTTTTTTTTCTTGCAGCAACTTGTGTCATAAGTGGCCACTTCATATGTCTCATGACCAACCATTGCGAGAACCACCAAGTCCCCTACTTCTAAGTGCAACTCCTTCACAAACTTTGCGAAACCTTGTGAAAAGTCGAAGCCTTCATTAGTTTCTCCTGTCTCAGTGAACCGCAACCTCTTGTCGAATTTCAAGAGAAGTTTCCTCGGTAAATTTCCTTGGAAATTCTTCTGATGGCAGGATTCTCTTCGCATAAGCAAATAATTTTCCCATGCATGTTTCTTGTTTATCCTACTTTCTAATCAAATCTACATGAAATGAAACATAGGATGTCAATTTGTCACATATATACAAGTTTGGGATTTTTGATGACCTAAAAATTAGTTTTGGGTAAATTTATCACAGGTATACTAGTTTGAAATCTCCATTTTTAACTTTATTGAATCCATCGGCGAAAATTCAAGTGTCAACATTCGCAGGTTAAGAACATTTGCATGGCCAATGTTCTCATCACACTCTATGCCATCCCATAAACAAAAGCCCCGGTTTGGTTTCCAGGTTAGAGTATTTGGATAAGTAAGAGGATCACTCAAAATTTTGGCGAGTAATAAGATTTCCTTAAATTGAAGCAGAGCACACATCTCTTCCATACGACACTACGGCTTTGAGCTTAATTAGAATAAACCCATAGGGATTAAGTCTATTATTGAAAAAATTAAGATTAGACCTAGGATTTTCGATATATATGTGTGCGCGCGTGCACCCCTTGGTTCTCACAATTTAAGGAAGATGGCTCACAATTACACAAACACATAGAGCGAGCAAGAGAAAGACAGAGAGAGAGAAGTCGTGGATCCCTCTCATGACCGTGACCTTGGCCGCCTCTCTGCCGGCGTCTGCTGCCACCACCAATAGCCGCTGCTGCTGTCCATCGCCTACTACACTTCCCCCGGATCAGCCGAGACTAGCCCCGATGCCGAAGCTCCCTTGCCGCACCACTATCATGATTGCCAATCTCTATCACTAAACCAGATCAGCCGACAACTAAGTTGCTTGTGATCCTGCACCGAGAAGCCTATTGTCACATCAAATTGTCCCTCTGACCCATGTATTGTCTATTTCCACAGTAGTCCGATTGTAGGTGATTGAATTGTTCAATGAATGCAGAATGGTTGAAATATGTGATTAATGGTGGCTTGATGATAAGCAAATTGCAGCATTGTTTTGAGGATGAATGAACGTTGATAGATCTTGAATAACCTAAATTTGATAATGGTGGGTGGCAACAATAATGGACAAAAGTGATAGTCAGCCGTAGGGGGTGTACTTTTGGTAATGGTGACAAATCGGTGGTCAGTGGGGGTAAACGATGAGTTGTGCTATTCACGATTTAGATATGTACTTGTGTGGGACTGTGGCTAGACGTTAAGAGCAGCGAATCAGTGATTGACTGTGATCAATAGTAGTTCATGTTATCTTTGATTTGGTATGAGATATGGATATGTCATTGTTGAAGCTTTGATGTTCCAGAATCAATAAGTGTTAAAAGCTACCTGGTGAGTAAAAGGAGATAGGATGGGAGGAAGACGATGGAGGAAAAATAAATAAATAATATAAATAAGAGAAGAGGGGAAAAGAGAAATAGAGGTGTAATTGGAATTTATATTAGGAAATAGATTTCATAGGAAGTGAGGTATTATCCCGTACCTCACTTGGTTTTTAGCCTATCTCAATAGAATAGTGGCAACTCCTCATATAGAATTCTCATAGGATTGATCGAATTAAAATGAAAATCGCAACGTTGCGTGAGGCAAGGGTTTGGGAGAACCCACACCGATTGACATCCATTGGTCCCCAACTCAACATTACCTCTAAATCCATATTTCGTCGATCCCTGAGTCGGGAGGGTCGCGACAGTGGGTATGCATACTAGTTTTAAAATATCCTTGCGGGCCGGTCACCAGCAATATAGGTGATGACCTAGCCAGGGGAGATTTTGGTCACCTTTGTCTTGGGTCATTAAGCATGATCATGGTTAAATATCCGAGCACAAGATTGATCAATGGAATGGACCATTGATGTGTGATTTGATGAATTGATCAATGGACTGGATTATTGATATTGGTTTTAATATTATTAATGAAATTGGCATTTCTTCTATGAATATGGTTATGTTGAAGCAATATATAACTCATTTTGATCTTGTATGTTTGTTTTATTCTAGATTTGGTGTAATGATTTATGTTTTTGTGTTTCAAACGTGCATAGTGAATGCTCGATCTTCTTAGAAGAGAAGCACTACTCATTGGGCTATAGCTGCTCATTACATTCGTCATCCATGGTTTTCAGGTTCCTTTGTTAGTGGCTCCTTTGTTAGTGGCAGATATAATGAAAGTGTTCGTATTATCGCCGGGTTTTGTTTTTATAAGCGGAATTTTGGTTATGAACTTAGTTAGTTGTATACATCTGAGTTGTACATGATTGAGATGAGTTTGCTGGGTCTAGTTGTTAGTTGGTGATGTATATTTCTTTACGATGGATTATAAAAACTCTGATGATGTTGTAATTAACCTGTTAGTTTATATATATATATATATATATATATATATATATATATATATATATTAAGATATATATTTTGATAACAGATTATTGGTTTATGTTTGAGGCTGCGTCCTTTAGATGAAAGGACAGCCGTGTCATTCCCCCCCTTTTTTTTTGTTTCGAGGTGTGACATTTGTTGGTATCAAAGTATGACCTCCTCTGGTAGGTGTGTGGTTGAGGAACAAACCACGCGGAAACTGGTAGACTCGTACAACCTAGTCCGACGAGAGTGGGGAGTGATCGTCGAGGCATGACGGCCTGGATGAGGAGCAACTTTTGGCAGACTTTTAGGATGGTGAAAGGGGCACCAAATAGGAGGAGAGCGATTAAGGGATATGTGTGTATTTAACTCACAAATGGGTCTTTTGACGTACCAGCAAGCTTTGCTTTTGAATTACAAAGTTAAGCGTGCTCAGACTAGAGCACTATTAGGATGAATAACCTCATGGAAAAGTGCACGCATGTACGCCAAAGGACAAAACATGGGATGGGCCAAACCGGACAATATCTCAAGTGAGTTAACTTAAGGATGTCACAGTAAATACAAAAAATGATCTACGCCATCTCAAATTAAGGAACAAATGCAACTTATTTTCTAGGCCTCTATCGATAAAGTCCTAGTTTGATAAACTCAATTCAATTTACTCCTTGATACACATTATTTAGTATTCAGAGGATAACACGATATATCAGGGACTTAAAAGAAAAAAAGAAAAAAAAACATTTCTCTACTTGCTTGGGGGACTTCTCCAAGGAGCTTCATTGGGGACCAGAATCAGATAATTTGTCAAGGATTAAATTGTATTTATTTGGAAATTTAGGGCTCTTTAAAAAGAAACTTATTGATAAAATTAAATTTGTCACGCAGAAGAAATTCTCACAATAGATGGCAACTTATTGTTACCTTTTTACTAAACCTTAGAAATCCATATCATTCGATTAGATGATATATCAACCAGATCCTCATTAGATGAAAAATGATAATCTTTCTCCTCTATATACCAATCTAGTTATCAATTAATTTAGCAAAAACCTTTCTCTACTCGCTTGGGGGACTTCCCGAAGGAGCTCTTCAGGGGACTAGAATCAGATAATTTGTCAAGGATAAAATTGAATTTATTTAGAAATTTAGGGCCCTGTAAAAAGAAACTTATTGATGAGATTAAACTTGTCAAGTACCCAAGAAGAAATTCCCACAATAGATGGCATTGTCACCTTTTTACTGGACCTAAAATTAGGTTAAAAATCAATATCATTAGATTAGATGATATATCAAGCAAATCCTCATTAAATGAAAAAGGATAATCTTTCTTCTCTACATACCAATCTAGTCATCAATTCATTCAGCAAAAACCTTTCTCTACTCGCTTGGGTGACTTCCCCTGACTTCCCCAAGAAGCTCCACTAGGGACTAGAATCAGATAATTGGTTAAGGATTATATTGAGTTTATTTAGAAATTTAGGGCCCAGTAAAAAGAAACTTATTGATGAGATTAAATTTGTCAATTACTTACATATAAGAAGAAATTCTCACAATAAATGGCAACTTATTGTCACATTTTTAGTAGACCTAAATTAGGTTAGAAATCAATATTATTCGATTAGATGATATATCAAGAAGATCCTCATTAAATGAAAAAGGATAATCTTTCTCCTCTACATGCCAATCCGGTCAACAATTCATATATCAACTTGAAAGAATCTCTAAGTATATAAAGGTACCATACTAGGTTCATCTCAACACATCATTGCACTAGTTCACAAAGCTATCAAGACTCGTTGAGAAAGAGAGAGAGAGAGAGAACAGTTTAGGTGGGAATAGCCATGGTGATAACAACATCCAAGAGAATGGGGTCAATGATGCTTGTGGCGGCTCTGATACTGTGTTTGTCTATCGGTGCCAACGCCAACTTTCTGGACGACCTACTGCGCCGGATTAAGTGTTTGACGTACTGTGGCCCGTCAAGAGCTTGCATTATAGAATGCCTCCGGCATCATTCCACAAGGTCCTTGACCATCCTGGTAATGATCTTCATATCAAGATTGAAAATACGTAGATTCGTATGAGAAGAAAGTCATTGTATAATTATTTTCTTTATCAGTGTTTCATTGATATATTTTAAGAGGATGGTTGTGTACTAAATCATTTGATTTCCTTGGACTTCGATATTTGAACTTATGTAGACGCCAAGGAAGTTGGAGCAAACGTGAAGAAGGTTGGAGCTTGTGCGGATTCATGCTCTCGAGGTTGCTAGAAAACTTATGCATTGCACTAAAGTCGTTGAAGTTTTGTAATGCCTTTGTGGTTTCATTCCTCAACTAATAAAAAGTGCATTTTTTAGTTATTGCTTGGCCATGAGTGAAGTACATTTTTATGAAATTTCAATTGTGCTAAAATGAGCATGCTCTCTATTATCCATAATTTGATTATGAAATATAATTACAAAAGAAAAGGTAACCTCTACAAGATATCGAAGTAGGTTTTGTCATGCTTCTTTGGATTCGCATCAAATCACAATGTATGTCTTCACACAATCAAAGTTTTACGATGCGGATAAGATTGTCAATCTCTGGCACGACGTGACATGAGAGCATGACTTGGTGGTGCTGCCAACTAGATGAATGAAATGATATGTATGAGCACCTGTTAAGCCAAAAATAAAGAATTATATATATCATTCACCAAAGTTAACTTTGTGAAATATGTTTGGATGGAAATTTCAAATAAGACAAGATATCAAATATCTTACGGTCACCCATTTAAATTCAGCCTAAAATCAGGGAAAAAAGTCTCTCCTCATAAGGGCGATGTTCTCCATTCTATTAAACGAATGATGCAATGGTTAGCTCTTTGACGAGTCATGTTGTCTTCTTTGTAGTTAGCTAAACATTTAATAACGCTCTTTTCAGTGTAACTTAAATAGGCATAATACCCTAAAAAATCCCAATATTAATTTCAGTCCCAATTCTATCATAAACTTTTTTCCATCACATAAAAAATTCCTAACTTTTGGTCCAATCCCAATTTTATCCTAAATTTTTCTTTATCTCTTAAAAAACCACAAACTCTATGAACTTTTTTTGTCTTATAAAAAACCACAAACTTTTACTTGAATTAAACATTTGCCTCTGTTAACCCTCCGTCCAAAATTGTCCTTAATGATATGGCATTTCCACGTCATTGCTCTAGTTTTTTCCCCAAATTTCATATCCAAGAAGATGTCTTTTAGAGATGAATTTCTATATCAATCCAAACGACATCTTATTGGATCCGAAATTTGCATAAAAACTAGAGCAATTATGGTTGGTTTTTCTCAATTGCCCTTACTTTTAAGAGAGTCTTCTTTCTATCTTGCTCAGGGATCTTCCGATTTTACGCTCAGTCTTCAATCTCTCATGCTCGGGAATCTTCCATTTCTTGCGGTCAGAGAGCTCGCACTAGAGACAATCGTTTCGGGAAGCTCAAACAACTTGCGCTCGCGATTTTTCCATCTCTAGGTGTTCAGAGGGTTTACGATGATAGATTTAGGACTCAAGTAAAAGTTGACGGTTTTTTATCAGACAAAGAAATATTTTTGGTAGAATTGGGACTTAACCTAAAATTGGGGTTTTTTATGGGACAAAAAAAATGTTTAGGATAGAATTAAGACCGAACCTAAAATTGGGGATATTTTAGGGTATTAGGCCTAACTTAATATAGATTTAGCTATCAAGCTACAAGATAGAGAAGATAAAATTTCAGTGTGGTGGAAGTGCCGTTGCTAAGTTATCGTTATTCATAGAAGTTTCCACAAAAAATTTAAAAAAATAATCTGAATGTCGTTATTATTTTTATTATCGAAAATTTGTTATGGTAATGTTATTATTGATCATCTCAAATTTCTTGTAGAATTGTTATGGCTCTTGCTTAAAAGGTTTAAACGTTACCATACCACAAACTATTAGGGACATTTTACTTTATTTCACAGTTGTAGCGGTAAACATTCTTATGCTGAGGATGTGGAATTATTACCTACATCACTCTTTTTTCATTTGTTGCAATGCTTTTCCAATGTCATAGATAGCATATTAAAACAGGCATTGGTTGGTTTAAATTTGATTTGGCCAAAAAAAGGAATAAAGAGGTTTCACATAGGCAAATGCTATATTTACTTAATATATTTCTCAGAATTTGTACGCCGATCATTCCTAAAATTTGCATTAGTGAAAAGTGAAGAAGCTAAAAAAATCTTATTTAGCAGCCAACATCTCAAGTTTATCTTCACAAAATTTTATTAGCTCTAAAGCCCTAGTCATCACATAAGGCCAAACGTATATGTGCAAGAACTATCCACTTGTACATCAAGAACCAGACTTAATTATACATGGTCCCCAACTCGACATTACCACTAAATCCATATTTCGTTAATCCCTGAGTCGGGGAGGGTTGCGACAGTGGGTATGCATACTAGTTTTAAAATATCCTTGTGGACCGACCTTCAACAATATAGGTGGAGATCTAGCAAGGGGGAAGTTTGGTCACCTTTGTCCCGGGTCGTTAAGCATTATCATGGTTAGATATCTGAGCACAAGATTGGTCAATAGAATGGACCATTGATGTGTAATTTGATGAATTGATCAAAGGACTGGACTATTGATATTTGTGTTGATATTATTAATGAAGTTGACATTTCTTCTATGAATATAGTTATGTTTAAGGAATATATAACTCATTTTGATCTTGTGCGTTTGTTATATTCTACATGTGGTGTAATGATTTATGTTTTTGTGTTTTAAACGTGCATACTGAATGCTCGATCTTCTTAGAAGAGAAGCACTACTCATTGGGTTATTGCTGCTCATTGCATTCATCATCCATGTTTTTCAGGTTCCTCGGTTAGCGGCAAATAGAACGAGAGTGTTCGTATTATCACCGGGTTTTTTTTATAAGCGGAATTTTGGTTATGAACTTAGTTAGTTGTATGCATTTGAGTTGTACATGACTGAGATGAGTTTGCAGGGTTTAGTTGTTAGTGTGTGATGTATATTTCTATTTGATGGATTATAAAAACACTGATGTTTTAACCAAGCTTTTTGGTTTATCGGATAAATATATATATGGATGGAGATATATATTTTGATAACAGGTTATTGGTTTATGTTCGAGGCTGCGTCCTCTAGATGGAGGGACGGCCGTGTCATTCCCCATTTTTTTGGTTTCGAGGTGTGACATTTGTTGGTATGAGAGTATGACCTCCTCCGGTAAGTGTGTGGTTTAGGGACGAACCACGCGGAAACTGGTGGACTCGTACAACCCGGTCCAACGAGGTGGGGAGTGATCGCCGAGGCATGAGGGGCTGGATGAGGAACAGCTTCTAGCAAGCTTATAGGATGGCAAAAGTGGCAAGAATGAAGTGAACCATGCACCGAATAGGGGGAGAGCGATTCAGGGATATATGTGTGTGTGTCTGTATCAATGAAAACTAGATTTAACTCACGAAGGCGTCTTTTGACGTGCCAACAAGCTTTGCCTTGGAATTCCAAAGTTAAGCGTACTTATGCTAGAGCACTATTAGGATGGATGACCTCCTAGAAAACTACACGCCTGTACGCCAAAGGACAAAATCGTGAGGCTCGGCATGGAATGGGCCAAATCGGACAATACCTCGAGTGAGTTAACTCAGAGATGTCACAGTAAATACAAAAAATGATGTACGCCATCTCAAATTAGGGTACAAATGCAACTTATTTTCTTGGCCTCTATCCATAAAGTCCTACTTTGGTAAACTCAATTCAATTTACGCCTTGATACACATGATTTAGTGTTCAAAGGATAACACGATGTGTCAAGGGCTCAAAAGCAACAAAAAAAAATCTTTCTCTACTCGCTTGGGGGACTTCTCCAAGGAGCTCCATTAGGGACTAGAAGCAGTCAATTTGTCAAGGATTAAATTGAATTTAGTTAGAAATTTAGGGCTCTTTAAAAAGAAACTTACTGGTAAGATTAAATTTGTCAAGCAGAAGAAATTCTCACAATAGATGGCAACTTATTGTCACATTTTTACTGAATCTTAGAAATCCATATCATTTGATTAGATGATAAATCGAGCAGATCCTCATTAAATGAAAAAGGATAATCTTTCTCCTCCCATACCAATCCAGTCACCAATTCATTTAGCAAGAACCTTTCTCTACTCGCTTGGGGGACTTCCCCAAGGAGCTCCACTAGGAACTAGAGTTAGATAATTTGTTAAGGATTAAATTGAATTTATTTAGAAATTTAGGGCCCTGTAAAAAGAAACTCATTGATGAGATTAAATTTGTCAAGTACCTACGTATAAGAAGAAATTCTCACAATAGATGGCATTGTCACCTTTTTACTGGACCTAAAATTAGGTTAGAAATCCATGTCCTTCGATTAGATGATATATCAAGCCAATCCTCATTAAATGAAAAAGGGAGAATCTTTCTCCATTACATACCAATCAAGTCGTCAATTCATTCAGCCAAAACCTTTCTCTACTCGCTTGGGGGACTTCCCGAAGAAGCTCCACTGGGGACTAGAACAAGATAATTTCTCGATGATTAAATTGAATTTATTTAGAAATTTATGGCTCAGTAAAAAGAAACTTATTGATGAGATTAAATTTGTCAATTACCTATGTATAAGAAGAAATTCTCACAATAGATGGCAATAGTCACATTTTTACTGGACCTAAATTAGGTTAGAAATCCATATTATTGGATTAGATCATATATCAAGAAGATCCGCATTAAATGAAAAAGGATAATCTTTGTCCTCTACATATCAATCCAGTCATCAATTCATTTATCAACCTGAATGAATCTCTAAGTATATAAAGGTACCACATTGGGTTCATCTCAACACATCATTGCATTAGTTCACAAAGCTATCAAGACTCATAGAGAGAGAGAGACTAAGAACAGTTTAGGTGGGAATAGCCATGGTGGTAACAACATCCAAGAGAATGGGGTCAATGATGCTTGTGGCGGCTCTGATACTGTGTTTGTCCATCGGTGCCGAGGCCAACTTTCTAGGCAAACTAATCCTTTGGATTAGGTGTGTAGCAAGATGTGGCGGGGGAGAGGGTTGCATGGCGATTTGCCTCCATGATCATTCCGCACAATCCTTAACCATCCAGGTAATAATCTTCACATCGAGATCGAAAATATAACGTAGATTTTTATGAGAAGAAAGTCATTGTATAATATTATTTTCTTTATCAATGTTCATTAATATATTTTAAGAGGATGGTTGCATAATAAATCATTTGATTTCCTTGGACTTCGATATTTGAACTTATGTAGACACCGAGAAAGTTGGAGCGGACGTGAAGAAGGTTGGAGCTTGTGCGGATTCATGCTCTCGGGGTTTTCTAGAAGGCTTATTCATTGCACTAAAGTCATTGAACTTATGTAATGCCTTTGAGGTTTCATTCCTCAACTAATAAAAAGTGCCTTTTTTAATTATTGCTTGGCCATGAGTGAAGTAGATTTTTATAAAATTTCAATTGCGATAAAATGAATCTGCTCTCTATAATCCCGAATTTGATTATGAGATACAATTACAAAAAAAAAAAAAAAGATAACCTCTACAAGATATCGAAGTAGGTTTCGTCATGCATTTTTGGATTCGCGTCAAATCAAGAATGTATGTCTTCACACAATCAAAGTTTTACGGTGCGGATAAGATTGTCAATCTCTGGCATGACATGACATTAGAGCATGACTTGGTGGTGCTGCCAACTAAACGAATGAAATGATATGTAATATATATCATTCACTAAAGTTAACTTTGTGAAATACGTTTAGATGGAAATTTCAAATAAGAAAGGATATCAAATATTTGATGGTCGACCAATTAAATACAGCCTAAAATCAGGGAAAAAAGTCTCTCCTCATAAGGGCGATGTTCTCCATTCTATTAAACGAAGGATGCAATCGTCAACTCTTTGATGAGTCATAACATCATGTTGTCTTCTTTGTAGTTTGCTAAACAATTAATGACGCTCTTTTCGGTATAACTTAATAGGCCTAATACCCAAAAAAAACCCCAATATTAATTTCAGTCCCAATTTTATCATAAACTTTTTTCCGTCTCATTAAAAATCCCTAACTTTTGGTCCAATCCCAATTTTATCGTAAATTTCTCTTTGTCTCTTAAAAAACCACAAACTCCGTGAACTTTTTTTGTCTTATTAAAAACCATAAACTTTTACTTGAGTCAAACATTTGCCTCTATTAACCCTCCGTCCAAAATATTTCTTAATGATGTGGCATTTTCACGTCATTGCTCTAGTTTTTCCCCAAATTTCATATCCAAGAAGATGTCTTTTGGAGATGAATTTCCATAAAACGACATCTTATTGGATCCGAAATTTTCATAAAAACCGGAGCAATTAGGGTTGGTTTTCCTCAATTGCTCTTACTTTCAAGAGAGTTTTCCTTCTATCTTGCTCATGGATCTTCGATTTTACGCTCAGTCTTCAATCTCTCATGCTCGGGAATCTTCCATTTCTTGCGGTCGGAGAGCTCGCACGAGCGATCTCGGTTCGAGAGGCTCAAACAACTCGCGCTCGGGATTTTTCCATCTCTAGATTGTTAGAGGGTTTACGAGGACATATTTGGAACTCAAGTAAAAGTTGATGGTTTTTTATCAGACAAAAATATATTTTTGGTAGAATTGGGACTTGACCTAAAGTTGGGATTTTTTATGAGACAAAAAAATGTTTAGGATAGAATTAAGACCGAACCTAAAATCGGTGATATTTTAGGGTATTAGGCCTAACTTTAGAGATTTCGCTATCAAGCTACAAGATAGAGAAAATAAAATTTCAATGCGGTGGAAGTGCCGTTGCTAAGTTATCGTTATTCATAGAAGTTTCCAAGAAAATTAAAGAAAAATAAATAATCTGAATGTCGTTATTATTTTTATTATCGAAAATTTGTCATGGTAATGTTCTTATTGGTCATCTCAAATTTTTTGTAGAATTGTTATCACTCTTGCTTAAAAGGTTTAAACGTTACGACACCTCAAACCAACTAGGGACATTTTACTTTATTTCACATTTGTAACTGTAAACACTCTTATGCTGAGGAAGTGGAATTATTTACCTACATCACTCTTTTTTCGTTTGTTACAATGCTTTTCCAATGTCATGGATAGCAGATAAAAACAGACATTGGTTGGTTTAAATTCGATTTGGCGAAGAAAAAGGAATAAAGAGGTTTCGTATAGGCAAATGCTATATATACTTAAAATATTTCTCCGAATTTATACACTGATGATTCCTAAAATTTGCATTAGTGAAAACGGAAGAAGCTAAAATCTTATTTAGCACCCAACATCTCAAATTTATCTTCACGTCATTTAGTAAAAAAATTGTTTCAACAAAATTTTAGTAGCTCTAAACCCTAGTCATCACATAAGGCCAAATGTATATGTACAAGAACTATCCACTAGTACATCGAGAACCAGACTTAATTATACATGGATATTAGGGATGAGGCCTATCTCATTTAAATTTACATGAACCAAGCAACAATATTTACCACCAAAAAAGAGAGGTACAAGGGTATGTCTACATGCCCATATAAAACTCTCTGCTCAACATCCATCAACAAAAAGAACAAAAAAGAAAAACCTATTTATGCCTGAAAAGCATCTACTTTTTAGCCCGTTTGCCATGAGCACGCCTAGGTCCTTCTCTTCCTTCTCTGCTCTTGATTTTCAACTCCATGACATTACCCTCGCCCCTCACCGGCAATCAAGGCGTTATAAAAATTATAGGTTAAAATATACTTAAAAGAAGCTATCGTAATATCTATAACCACAAAAAAGGTAAAAGGATAATTAAAAAAGCATATTTTTTGTTGATTTAAAAAATAAATTGAAATGAAAAAATATTGGAAGATCCAAGCAGTTAGTCTAATAATGAAAAAACTTGGAGCAGTAGATTGATTTGACTTTGTATAACGAAAGTTGATGACTAAACTAAAAAAATTGAAATTTGATGAAATAAATTGCCCATTGCACAATAGTTTAACTAAATCGCATAATTTGCTTAAGAAGTTGTGATAAAAGGATTATATTGAACATTGAGAAATAATTCGATTTCCACATTGGACAAATTGAAAGTCCATTAACGACAGTGCACACGTTGAACCAAAATTCAACCATGAGCATCATACTCTTGTAAATTATACTTATCGTTGGTCTGAGCATTGTCGAATTGCGCCTCTTATTCGTGAATAGTAGTTCCCTTAAGTATAATAATTGTTATGGACGAATCTTTTGCGCCTATCTGATCTCACTTAACTTGAAGCAAACTCAATTGTCTCCATAAATATATATTCTTCAATTTGAAGCAAAGATACATGCCTCTGTTAAGGATCTGTTCGAGGCATACCACAAATTCACCATGCCTCCTCTTCCACCTTGTCTACCTTTCTAGGTCTTCCCCTACTACGCCTTCTTATTATGGGTTCTGATCACTTCGATCTTCTCGTCGCGTGGCCGCTTCTTTCTAGGTCTTCCTCTGCCCCTTTTAACTGGAGCCTCCGCCGGAGCATCCAAATGCCTCCGTTGAGCTTCTTTCGGCTTCTCTTCAATCGCATTCTTGATTGGGTCTTTGGTTTGGTTCTTGATTGGCTCGGGATTGTTTCTCATCGTATCTAACATGATCAGATCACGGATCAATCAGAGTTCATAGATCATCTAATCAATGAGACTGTTGGATGATACATACAACAAAGATAAGTAGATCAACTTGTGCACAACAGAGTCAATGCAAGGGATGAACTGTAAACATACAGTTAGGTTCAAAAACAATCTCAAAATATCCAAAAAATTATTTAGATCGTAACCCAAAAAATAAAATTAACATTGAACCAACACGAACGACTAATAATTTTTCAGCTAAGATTTCCCATGAATGAAATGATGACCATAATTCTTCTCAATAACAATAATGACCATTACTGAGGCAAAAATTACTGATTCATTAAACAAAATACAGCTGCCGCTACTCATATCACTCCGGTTGATTCAGCACTGTTGATAGAACAAAGTCCCTCACATCATATTTAGTTTGTATACAAGCAAATCGCATTTCTTTTTTCCCGTCGTGATAATCCGCGGAAAGGGTAATGTGTTTATTTCGACATATTTTTAAGTAAAAAAGTTGCCCACTGTTTAACTCATGAAAACTTGAAAAATCATTAAAGTCTAACAAACATGGAAAAGTCTTATGGCAATTTACATATCACGTTCGCATGTTTTCAAAGGTTTTCGGATGTTTAATCCTAAACAAAGTCAGTCCTAAACAAGGTCAAGTAGCTTGAGCCAGAAAAATGGACAAAAGTGAAGTTTCTGTGACTTACTAGATGAAAAACCACGACTTGAGCATTGTTTGGCTCTGTAGATGACGACCTTGAACGAAGCTTTACCAGCAGTCGTCAATTCAAAGACACAGGCGTCGCCTTTCCGCAATCTGTTGTCCAGCACAAATGCTCTCCAACCGCTTTGGGCCCTAACCTTTGGTTTTGTGTTGTACATCCCAGAATGGTATCGGACAGTCCAAACCCTCCCGCTAGAGTCGTGTAGCTTCATGAAACCGATTCCGCCAGCCTTAGAGATGTGCGTCTTGAAAAATGCAGCTGGTATATTCTGCAAAAGAATTGGAGGGGAAAAGGCAAATGTCATTCAAGGGTAAGAAAATCTAATTCTCCTTCACAGGCTTGGTCCTGTAATTGGTATTATATTTTTACTTGATCTTTTAAGTCGAATCAATCCTCTAACTCGTTCAATTTATTTTTTCGCCGTTCGCATTGTACGCTCTTACTAACTGTAAGAAAAAGGGCTATATCATATAAATCAAGTGAAACAACCAGAATGTACCACAAAAGGCTAAAGCATAAGACTGAAGACATAAGAATCATGGTGTAGTGATATATAAAAGTGCCATCCCCTGAGTCTCCATTATATCAACTGTTAGTGACCATTTCGAGGCGCATCGATGATGTTTCTGTTATGTTTATTTGAAAGCTACACCAATTGCTGAAAGTGGTAAGGAGGAATTCATGAGGTACCCTTTGGGTATCTACTTCCCTCAGCTGCCAGAGTAGAGGGGATTCTATTCCATGTTTACCGCTTGCCTTCCTTAGCCGGTTTGGAGGTACGCGCTACATTGAGCCCTAAACCTTTGCGGTTATAAAAGAGCATGTATATATATGCCACCACCCTAAGCTAATCAAAGCATAATCAAGTGCACCAAACAAATTGTGGTCCTTAAGAGATTCCAATAATTGTACTGCGCACCCGATTCATTCCTCACCAATGCATATGGACTCTGAACATAGGATGATTGCATAAGGACTATGAAAAATGGATTCGTGGTTTCAAAAGAAGCAGCCCTCGAAAGCACTTCAACCTCTTCTGGGACTCTGAACCGTCGGTTAGTCAAACAAGGCACCGATTTCGGGCGATTATTACCGTCGGAGATGTGTCCATCGCCGTGTTCATCTACAACAAAGATATGTCATTTTATTTTAAATTAACTACCAAATATATACACATGAAATACCTTTCTACTTAGAATAAAAAAAAATAGCAGATTCTAAGGAATTAACAGATCCACAGGGTTTAGTAGGCTTCCGGTGTTTTTTTTCCTTTTTGATCTTTTGACTTTTTCTTCGACTTCTAAAGCTTGAAATTAGATCATTTTTACCTTTCTGAGCTTGAGGTTCTTCTTCGTTTGAACTTTTAGTCCATTCTGGAGACCCACTATAACTGCTTGTTTCCATGGATGGCTCATACAAAGAGTCATCATCATCATCTGGTGAATTTGTCTTCCTCTTCTTCTTCTTCTTCTTCAGGGATCGAACTTGTGTTAATGATGGCGATTCTCTCCCTTTACATTCACATGACTGAAAATCATCGTCCGATATTTCAATTATAATGTCCTCAGTTTCTTCCAATTCTTGTGACAACAAATGCTCGTCACTGAGCTTGGATTTCCCACAATTTTCTTTAGAAACCATAGGGTATTTGATTTCTGAAGCACTCCTATTGAATATGACCACACGAAACACAGAGTTTCCTTCATATCTGAAGGTTAGGAGGTAACCGTGTTTGATTGAGTAGTGCTTGACAAAGTCTGACCAACTGTCTTGTAGCCAAAAGTCATGATTTTGCCTCCGCAATTTCATTTTCCAAACATCACCACTAGGCACATTGAGGCACACGAAGTTGGAGAAATTATTCCCATATCTTCTGGCGAATTTTTTTGGAATCGTCTGTTCAAAAAATCAGAGTATAGTTTAGGCAGAAACTTGGAGTCAGGCATGCAGGATTTTATTGTTTGCTTGGAACTATTACTCATTGAAGATGTATTCATCACACCGTAAAAAAGTGATTATACATAAGCAGGAAGATCTTTTGACAAACAATAGATGGTTATTGAAAACCCATCACCTGTCAAAAGATTCGCCCATCTCAAGCAATCAGATTGTGTATGCTACACATATAGTATAACTCATTGATTTAAACCCAGTATAGAATACTGCTAAAAATACACATCGCTTGAATGTTAAATATGATGACACCCTTTGCAATCTATCCATGACTTTCTAAACCAGTTACTTCCGTAGATCAATCACAATGCACCCACCATTACTCTCCAAAAAGTATCACCTAACTCACCACAACACAGTGTTCCTATCCAAATGTCTGATTATGTGAAAAAAAAAAAAATTCAGAACAAAGCATACGAAATGAAGTCCCAAAAGAGACAGGTCGTATATCTAAAAAGGAACCACGCACAAGAACAAGAAAAGCAACCAAAAGACAAGAACAGAACAGGCTCATATACAGAAGGAAAGAAAAAGGACAACCCCCACCAAGGAACTAACAGCATAACCCAAAAACAGCCAATTCTTACTCATGGAACTAGTAAAAGATTGCTTCTTTTTCTTTATTTGGGTCACAGAAAGATTGATCATGCAACCAAAAGGAGCTGCTAACTATTAGAGTTGATTAGAATCTGCATTAACTCTAATACCTACGGGTCAAGAAATGGAAACAGCAGCAGCAAAAGGGAGTTTCCAGAAAAGAGAAAATTGCATGGGAACCGAGACGAATCGAAGGCTCACAAGCTTTCCACCCTGGATGTGGCGGGCGCACATGAACTTGAAGAAGTGGGGAGTCTTGGCCTCGAAAAGCTGACCATCTTCATGGGCACAAAAGGGACCAGAGTTGCTCCAGCGCGCATTTCCCTCCCCCACGGCGGACGTCATGAACGAGGGCTGTTGGCGGGAGCTCGCAACAAGAATTCCTCCCCCAAAGCCTCTCCCTGTACCTCTGCCAATCCAAAGCTGGAGGGTCTTTGATGCGCAGCGCTATCACCCGCCGAACATATAGCTACTATACTCCAATCCAAAACCCAAAAAACACCGGAAGGATCGTAAGGACGCTAACAAGAAGAAAAGTGATGATAGTCACGGCCAGAGAAGAAGAAAAAGAAGTTACCATGATAGACATACTTGCTCCCGAAGTTCTTCGAGAACTCGAAGCTCCTGTCGACCCCCGGTGACCAGCCCCTCCGCCTCACTCGCCTTCAGGGAGAGCGCGGCCCTTGACGTGCTTCGCCGGCCGGCGGCGGGGCGAACGGCCGCTCGCTTTTCTTGAGAGAGAGAGAGAGAGAGAACGTGACAGCGTGCGGCAGGAGATGGAGTAGAGAGACAGAGGGCGCGCGTGAATAATGAAGAGACCAGGCGGTGAAAGAGCTCGGAGGTGGGACCCGCGGAGCCAGGTGTCGCCCATCGAGCGGTCCGGGACCACAAGTGATGCCTTGTCTCTGCTTTTCGGACAGGACTGAGTCAAACTGTTGGTCAAAACAATTTTGTCGTTTACCTCGCAAAAAATTGTTGGTATTTTCATATTGATTAATATCATAAAAAAAATCCAAATTGATAATGCTACAGAAATTAATTATTCCATAAATTAAATTAATATCACGAAAATAAAAGATAAAATTTTAAATTAGTACACATGTCAATTGTCATGTGTCATATAACTCGGTAATTTAACGGTAAAAATTAGCGGAAACTAATGGAGGGTAAATTTGTTACAACTCTATATGTTTGAAATTTTTGTGATTAAAAAATTAGTTAGCGATAAATTTATCATAACGATTTGGGTTTTTTTTTTGGATCAAAATAACTGTTTGGATTTTCCCTGTCATTATCCCTATTATATTCATGGCATAATGCATTTAAGGAGCACTTATCTAATGTAATTCCTATTTTTCTCGATATATCGATAAAAAGAAATTAAATACCATGAGAAGAAGAAGAAAAAGAGGATGAGAAAATAAAGTCATGCACAATGCATTTAAGTAAGAAAAAGGAGGGAATCATCGTAAGCGCCAAATTGCCTTTTCAAATGCTTTGTTCTCCTTTTTTTTCGACCAAAAAAAAATTGCTTAGTTCTCTTGGACAAACCCGTACGATCCCAAGGAGGAGTTTGCGTGAAAAGAGGACAAGATCTTTGCCAACAGCGACACCATTTATCATCCCCGATATCAATAAAACAGAGCAAGCAAGACAAGACAGAGGGAGATGGTACTTTGGGGCTGTCCGATTTGTTGTTTTCTTATGTGGTCGAACACGTTTCATTCCAATGCACCAAGAAAAGGAAGGTAGCTATAAGCCATGTCTCCCTGTTTAATTTAATGTTTGCACAAACAGAAAACGTCACTTCCTTTTCCCTTCAAAAAGAGAGCATCCGGGATCTAATATGTCCTTAAACTCTTCCGTTTGAAGTCACAAAACAACTAGATGATAGTCCATCCGTCGTGGGAAAGAAAAAGATAAGGGGGTGGAGGGGAATAAGGAAGGATTGACGTGCGGATATCAACACGTTAAAATAAAGAATACGGTCATGACAGTCTGTCTAATATATACACCGCAATTTCCATATAGCCCTTTTACACTTGAAGCTGCTTTTACTTCCGCTCAAGATTCAAGTCCCTGGCATTAGCAGTGCAGGTACTTTCCTTCCACCAAATGTCACCACCCGGTCCACGCCACAATAGCAATCCGGCAATTGATTTTCGCATCGGACCGACTAACCACATCCTTGCGTGGGGTTCTACGATCACTGCGCTACTCTTCTTCCCGAGTCCCATCTCTGTAGCAGATTGAAGCTGCTAGGAGATACTGAAACACTCCGAAATTATTTATCGAATTATTGAACTTCCTTGGAGCCAAATGGTGTCTACAACTTGTTAAACCTCAATGAAACCCCGTCCCCCTTTTAGAAGATGCAAGAAATGGTTTACTGAAAGGCGTTTTACTAAGAGGAAGAATTTTATGGCATTGCGACATGTTATTTTTGATACCTGAAAATCACGTATTTCATTGTCAACAGGAGCCTGGAAATGATCTAAAGTCAAGAAATTTAGAAACCATGATATTGGTCGATTGAGCTGCTATACTAATCGGTTCATCTTTTCTAATAGTCCTGATGCTCTTGTGCTCCTCTTACATGCAAAATAACCACGAATTGAGTTGTAACACCAAAACTTACAGGCCAAAAGCTGGATTGCTAATCCGGGGACCAAAATGCTTCAGAACAATGTTTTGGCCTAAATCTAGAATCATCAGCAAATGCTAACCGAGAAATACTATATACCACATCCCTTTCGGCCTATATGCTATTCAAAATGTTGCCTGGCCACCACGCAGTTTACCCGATCAACCAGAGATTACTGCTGGGTTTGCCCTCAAACCCTACATCGATATATGCGCGTCAATCACTTACGCAGTGGATTTCCTTCTCTTCACCTTCGTCCTTTTCCATCACGATATCGTGAAGATTCTTGCCATCTGAAACTTTTCCCTCATCTCTCGGCTTGTCCAGATTTCCCTCGCTAATCCTGCGCCTGAGCCTCAATCTTCCAGCAATGCTATCAGATGAAGGATCATGGCGGCGGTTCCTCTTAGATACCGGTTTAGGGCCTTTCACTACTTCAGTGCAATCCACATTGAGATCTTTGACACCATTTTCTAGTCCTTGTTCGCATTTGGGCTTGGACAGTTCACAATTTTCGTTGTATTCAGCAGAACATAAATCATCAACACTTTGAACATGTGCTTCCTTGCCAGAAAAGGGCAACGACCTTTTCACAGAAACGTGACCAGCGGAGTTTTCTCGTACAACTTGAGGATCAGACTCAGACTCTGACAATGCAATGGCATCATCATTGGAAAGCACGGAAGATGCATTCACCACTGTTTCCATATCCAAGAAGGGCAGCGACCTCTTTGCAGAACCATGAACAAGAGAGTCTGAAGTTTTTTCATCCTGCGCTTGCAAGCTGCGGGTCTGAATTAGATAATGTGCTACAGACTTAAACCCCAGTCTGGATACCTGAAAGAAAGGCAAAGGATTTAGTCTAGCTTGGCATATATGATCGATCACTTGGTCAGGAGAGAGAGAGAGAGAGAGAGAGAGAGAGAAGATGACCTTCTTATAAAGAGGACCAGTAGGAGGCCACCCTTTTGCTTGCCGGCACAAACTACAATTGCATATTCCGCGACAAACTGGACATACCCAGTTCGGGTTTTGCCGGGCTTCCAGCACATGTTCCCCATATCTGCAAGATACATGAACCAGAAGTATGACATATGTAGTTAGGATATGCTAAAGCCTCCATGCATACGCTTGCCAGCAAGTTGCAAGTTTGGCAGCCTAATCTTGATCGACCGGCCAACTTAACATCCAAACGGACTCTATGACACTGTCTCCAACACATAGACCAGTTGCTAATCTATTCAGAATATGTAAAGGATCCTCTTACTAACTGTATGAATAATAGTATATTTCACATGCAGCTTCCAGCTAGGCGTCTGTTTAAAAATAGTCAGAGATAAAAAAGAAGACTTGTTGATCCTAGGCATGTCAAAGAAGACAGACATCAAAAGACTATAAATGAGTTGCGTATGCAATTGTTAACGTTATGCATGCAGAATTAACAATCCAGAGCATAAACATGTTTTTCTCCCTGGTTGTCAAAATCAGGGTTAGAGCATGGTAAATGGCGTCAAAAAGCCTTGGAAAAAAAGAACTCAACAGTGAGAAACTGATCGGGGTGTCCAAGAAGCTCACCTCATGTACAAACAATCTCCACAAAACTGTCCCTGCACCAGGGTACATTGGCTGCATTGAGTTCGATAGCCAAGAGTTTTCTGCCTGTTGAAATGAAAGCAACTTTATCTTGGGATTGAAAGACATCACATGAATTATATGTGCAATTTAATCACCACATAAAAGATCGATGTGGTGAAGCGTGCTATAGTGGGTACCTCATACTCATTGGCACAGTGATTTATATACTCGCTGATTCTAGCAGAATTTGAGAGATTTTTCCATCAATAAATTCCCTATTCCAAAGACGCTTGTCTTCATGGCAAAGCAAAGTAAAAAAGATGCCATTTTCCCAAATCATAATAAATGAAACTAAGATTGTTTCCAAGTACCCGTTGCCATATACCAAGAGAGACAAAATCTACCAATAGCACAGATATTCAGAATCAACAAAAAGTGATTGAATTCGACTCAAGAGCTCAGCCTTCTTAGAAGAGATCATTATGTATTTGGACCACGATTGAAGTTTTAAATGAACTGCTGATATCTCAACTGGAGTAAAAGTACTTAAGAGTCAGCAATGTGGAATTAATCTCCAACTTGAGTATCATATCACAAGCTCTTAGCATTCCATGTGACACTTGGGTGTTAGGGTGTCATATTAAATGATTTAAGAAGACCAGAATACTAATTAAAAGAGTATGAATCCAGTTTTGGTATACTCCATATTTGGTAAAACTCTATTTGCAAAAACTAGATGAAAGAAAACAAAACCAGTATCCGACATCAGTTGCATAGAGTTGAAACCAAAATTTTAATCGTTAAGCCAGGATAACACTGTCCACTTCAGGCCATGGGCATAAAGGGAACTGAAGCAAAATCATCACTGAATGCAGAACTTCAAACAGTAGTATTTCACAAAACTAATGGTTGCAGGTTTAAGGTCATATAAAGGAAACCTCAATGTTACTTCATCTTTGTCTAATATAGAGATATGATTTTAATATGGTGTGTATCGTGCTCAGATGACACACAGAAACTACCAACTTACCTACATTGATGGCAAGTCTTGCCTCGGATTTGATCATAAATACGCTTCCCGTCTTTCCCACACCCATCCACGAAAATTTCCCAAGTTTTCTCAGTGTTGCCCAACAGCTTCTCATGCTCCTCTGTATAAATCTCCGGCTTCGAGCCCTCTTCCAGAACTATTCCCTCATCTTCTAAAGACCTGTCCTTCTTGTGCAACCGAACTTCTGCATAGCTTATCGGCATGACGCTCTGCAACCTAGCTCCCACAATATTACGGACACAACAGTATGCGAACACAAATTAGAAAACCAACAATGTGCGAAACTCCGCAACCTAGCTCCACAACATTACAGACACAAGGCTACGCATACAAAGATTAGAAAAATCAACAATGTGTGAACTTATACCAGAATTGAAATACGTTTGTTTGGTGCAATAGGATGAATAAAGATCCATTACTAGAAAAACTCTACAGAAACAGGAAAAAAACCAGAATTATATCCGCAAGGCTACAGTTGAATTCATCATCTTGTCAAACCAGGTTAGGAGCAAAATACTCAGCAATTTCTCGTTTTTTCACTTTTTTTTTCATCTATAATCAGAAAAGCAGGAGAGACACTGGTAAGTGAAGCATTTTCCATCGAACCAGCTTCACAAGATACATGCGCATGCATCGGAGCCAATGCCTTGTTCTTAACTTCTCAGCAAACCATTCTCCACTCCACAACTGTATTTTCTCAGTAAACAAACAAGACCACGGACAACCCACACGCGAAAGCCGAAAAGGAACGAAGAAACAGTCCCATCGGTCGGGAAAAAAGAGCATCTAAAAACCTCGTAGACCGTAAAGGAGACATTTTTACCAAAAACAAAACGCACGAGCGTCCCTCATCAAACCACACAAACCTCCACCACACCACCGCATTCTCCTCAGCCACCAAACGAACCCACAGGCACAACCCAAACTCCCGACGACCCACCTGGAAGACCGCCGGACGGGACCGGAGGGCGGGACCGGAGCGCACTTCTCGGACGATCTGCGGCACGGGGTCCGCTTGGGAGGCGGCACGGAGGAGGAGGAGGAAGACCGGAGCTTCTGGGAGAGGTCGACGATGCCGAGCTTCTGCATCCGCTCGAGGTTGGCCCTGATCCGCTCCTCCCTGGACTGCTCGTAGAGGGAGATCTTCCCGGACCCGGCGTGGTCGTCGCCGCCGCCGCCGGCGTGCGAGCTCGGGGTCGAGATGGGTCCCTGGGTCCTCGCTCGCTTCCTCATCGTCGGCATCTTCCCGGGTTCTTGCCGCACAGAGAGAGGGAGTCTCCAACGGTCGAGTTTTGAAAAGGGGAGAGAGAGAGAGAGAGAGAGGGAGAGGGAGGAAGGAAAGAGAAGGGCTGTGAGCTTGTTTTTGGTTTAGTGCTGTAATGGTGGAAATGGACAGGCTTCTGTATTTTTTCTCATTTTCTTTTGTTTTTCCCTATTTTTTTACTCCTTTTGGGTTGCTTTTTGAATATGAAACATAATGAAATTGAGTTCTCAAGTTAGGTGCTATTGCACTTGGAGACCATATCGTTTTTTATATCCTCAATTTTCGGTATCGAGTACACCCTCCCATTAGTTTTGTTTATTATTTGCTTTTGGCCATACCCTTTTGTTTAGTTTATTCTCCAGAAGAATCGAGGCGAATCCGCAGTGGCGATGGTGCCGATGGTCGTCGAGGCCATGGGTGGCGAGATTCCAGTAGCAATGGGGAGGCCATGCTGCAACGGGCCGTGGAGAATGAGGGCTGGTGAGGGAAATCCGAAGTACGCGGCGATTGCATTCCTCTCGAGATTTGAAATATTCATAGGTGTAAAAACAAATAGTCGTGCATACCTTCAAACCATTTCCACCTCCTTTCTCTATAATTCTTGGGCTAAACACTATAAAAGATTTCTTTTTTCTTTGTTATGATAACGATGGCATTAAGTACTTAAAAACTCAATCTTCCAACGATTTAATGTTATTCAATATATTTGATAACCTCTAGGTCATGCAACTTCATTTATCAATTCAAGGGACAGAAGCACATAATACTTCCACTTCATTGACATGTGTCCTTCTCATTGTAGATGATTATTTATTTTCTTTTGCCAAAGTAAATAATCACTTGTGAAGAAATGTGAATTTGTAAGGTTATAAATACAGCATATTTTTACCTCTTCAAGCCCACTGCCTACATGGGCCAAAGTTCTTCCATGGCCCTGGCCCCTATTGGGCTTGAGATGCCAATCACAAATCAGGCCCACAAACAGGTAGCAAACCCAAAATCACCCTCCGCAAGGCCCATAAAACGTAGTCTCCGGCGGGCCCAGGTCAAGATGATTGGCTTGTGACCATTATAATCCTCTGGCATCTCAATCTCATCGGGACAATCATTCAATCAGTCCCAAACCTATAATTCTTATGTCAATTCAGTTGTAAACCTGTCGATTTTGTCGATATAGTCATAAACCATCATGCAAAATTCCAATGTTACTCCTTCTGGCCAATTGCTGTCCGATATCGCTGATGTGGCGTCCGATCATCGCGGGCATAAGACGTGGCATGCTGATGTGGACAATTTACGTATCGCCACGTTAGCGATTTCTTATGACAATTGGCCGAAAGTAGTAGTACATTGGAATTTCGCCCCAATAGTTTAGGTTTAGGATTATATTGGCAAAATTGAGGAAAAGTATCGAAAGAGTCATAAACTTATTGCAATAATGCCAATTTAGTCATAAAGCATTTAATGATGCCAATTTAGTCATAAACTTTTTTACTTAGAGCTAATTCAATCCTTCCGCTAATTTTGGCCAGATATTGCTAATGTGGACGCCGGTCATGTCATGTAGGCCAATCAGCATTAACGTGGACAACTTTTAATAATATTTAAATTTTATTCTAATTTTTTTCTTTTTTTCTTTTTTTTTTCCTTTTCTTTTCTTTCCCTTCTATCTTCCTCCAATCGGTCGCCAGACCTCAGTGATCGGCCACTCGCCTGCCACTAGCGAGGGACAAGCCTCGCCCAGCCACTGGCTAGAGCAAGCCTCACCGACCCTCACCTCTGGCCAGTCCCCGAGGTCCGGTGACCGGCTGGAGGAAGAAGGAAGGGGAAAAAGACAAGAAAAGAAAAGAAAAATAAATAAATAATTCGAAAAAATATTAAAATATTATTAAAAGTTGTCAAAGTCAGTGCCGGCCATGCCACGTAGGCCGGCTGGCGTTTGCATCAGCAATATCTGGCCAAAATTAGCTGGAATGACTGAATTAGCTCTAGATCATAAAGTATGACTAAATTAGTACAAATACAATAGGTTTATGACTTTTTGATACTTTTCTTGACAAAATTAGAAAGTTTAGAACTAAATTGGTATTGTGCCATAGATTTATGACTGATTAAATAATTTTCCTCAATCTCATATGTTTTCGAATTGTTGACATGTGAGGTCAAAATCGAGCCATGTATTTCACGACATAATAACCCTTAATTTGACCCAAAATACAGGTGAAGAAAAATGAAAAACCCTATGCATGCTAAAACGATCATGTTGGCTTCTTATAAATCTTTAAAAAAAAAAGGAAAATGACACAAACAGTCCCTGAACTTTGATCCAATGTGCAATTTGGTCAATGAACTTTTAATTTGTTTAATGTAGTCCTTGAACTTTAACCAAATGTGCAATGCGGTCCCTGAACTTGTAATTTGTTCAATGTCATCCCTAAACTTTTGGTACATGTTCAATTTAGTCCCTGAACTATATGAAAATGTTCAATGTAGTCCCTGAACTTGAATTAATGGAAATAACTGTATTGAACATTTTCATATAGTTCCTTACTAAAAAAAAACATTTTCATATAGTTCATGGACTAAATTGAACGTGTACCAAAAGTTCAAGGATGATATTGAACAAAATAAAAGTTCAGGGACCATATTGAACATTAACCTAAAGTTTAGGGACTATATTGAACAAATTAAAAGTTCAGGGATCAAATTGCATATTGGGCCAAAGTTTAGGAACTGTTTGTGTCATTATCTCTTAAAAAAACGAATCGGATGACAAGAACCCAATCTAGCCCTCAAAAATGCGGAGAAGCTGGTGAATGCGCCCCCGCTTCAATTGGCTCGGTGCGCAAGATTTGTCAATCTCATGTGGGTTCACACGATCCAATGGACACGCACGGATCCGGCCTATATGATCCGGGCGTAACGGGGCTCGTGGATCTAAGTCCTCTCTCGATTTTGTCAAACATGACTAGGTAGATAACCGGAGGAGACCTAAGTTTAGCTACCACGAGGATCAATTTTTGTGAGCATTAAACTTGGTTCGAGTCATTTTCCAGCCTCGTGACCAAACACACACCTAAACTAGTACTCCCACAACTGTCTCTCCCTCTCTATTTGTGCCACAACCACACTAACACAAGCCTCCACCGAGTAATAGTTAAGGTGATATTCTCTGTGTTCTTGGGCGGGACTTACAATAAAATGTGCGTACGATCAAGCAGCATGCCATCTGTTCACTGCCCAAGTGACCATAATTTCGAAAAATTTCTGCCATTTTCAACGGAAATCCCGATTGTCACATGTGACATGGGAATCACAACTTTTCATTTGACCGAATCCAAAGTGGGTGGGACCTTTTCTTGAGACGAAAGCAAGACAAACTCTGCAAACTTTCATAACCGTTCGAGGACATGTTCTAAGTGTCGATGAACCACCACCACCAATGAAACTTCGCACGATCCAACCCTTCCTGTCCTCTGCAGAACAATGTCAAACCAGATTTGCAACTCCACCATAAGCTAAGCTCAAGCTCACAAGTTTCACCAATCGCCCGTCCCTCTTTTTCTACTCTAATGTGTCGACAAGAAGGTTGCTTATAACTAGCGTCTCAGCGCCAGACCAACATGGTGTTCTAGGACTTCCTGTCTAGGACCAAGCGCAAGATCAGCGAAGAAGCTAACAATGGCCTGGATTCGACCTCGTTCTCTGATCTTGGCTCTTTTGCTAGCAAATGCCATTTGCTTCCCGGGCAAAGCCGATGACACCGGCGACGATTCTCTTGGGCTCGGAGCTTCATACATCTTCGGTGACTCGTTAGTTGACGCAGGAAACAACAATTATCTGCCAACTCTGTCTCGGGCAAATATACGTCCAAACGGGATCGATTTCGCAGCATCGGGAGGGATACCGACCGGGAGATACACCAATGGGAGGACAATTGGAGACATTGTGGGTATGTGCTCTAGTCCTAGAGTTAAAAACCTCTTCCGGGTCATTGAAAGGCTGGGAAATATATGATGTCTAAACTTTATCTCACGTTATGGGATCTTCGTACTATTGAAATTGATGAATGGACAAATGCAATTGTCGTGATAAAAACAGTGCTACATGACTGTTAGTTTGGCAATAGACTTTGCTGTTCTTAGATATATGTTTTCTTCGTTTTTGCTTTTTCCAGGAGAAGAACTGGGACAACCACATTATGCGGTACCCTTTTTGGCCCCGAACACGACCGGGAGAGCGGTATTGACAGGAGTGAATTACGCGTCCGGCGGAGGAGGCATTCTGAATGCAACCGGAAGAATATTCGTCAGAACTCTTAACTCTTTCCTCGTTATAACGGGAGATTATGCATCTTCTGCAATGATTAATTGATGTGAATAAGCATTTCTCGTGCAGGTCAATAGGCTGAGCATGGACATCCAAGTGGACTACTTCAACATCACAAGACAACAGATTGATCAGTTGCTAGGCTCTTCAAAGGCCAAGGAGTACTTGATGAAGAAATCCATCTTCTCCATCACAATCGGAGCAAACGATTTCCTCAACAATTACATGCTTCCGGTTCTCTCCATGGGCGCCCGGATCTCCGAGACCCCCGACGCCTTCATAGACGACATGATCAGCCACTTGCGAGACCAACTTACGGTGCGTAAATCTCTTCACATAGTCGACCTCTGTGAGATGACCTTGGAACTACGTTTGACAGCATCTGTTTGGCCATGTCGATTACAGAGGCTCTATAAGCTGGATGCTAGGAAGTTTATACTTGCAAACGTCGGCCCGATCGGGTGCATTCCTTATCAGAAGACGATAAATCAGCTGAGCCCAGACGAATGTGTCGACTTGCCGAACAAACTCGCAAAGCAGTACAACGGAAGGTTGACGGATCTGCTGGCCGAGCTCACCGACAACCTCCCAGGAGCCACTTTTGTCCATGCCAATGTCTACGACATGGTCATGGAAGTCATCACCAACTATGACAAATACGGTACTGTCTTAATACTTACAGAGAAACTTACACTTCTTTAACGATACTCAGCATAAACCATGTTCTTACAAGCAACACAGGCCGATTCACAGACACAAATTTAGTCTTTAGATTTCTTTATTGAGAGAGAATGTGCACTCGGGTTCAAATCTCAGGATTTGAGACGGCAAACCGGGCATGCTGCGGAAACGGAGGCCAATTCGCCGGCATCGTACCATGCGGCCCGACCTCTAGCATGTGCTCGGACAGGTCGAAGCACGTGTTCTGGGACCCGTACCACCCGAGCGAGGCCGCGAACGTCATACTCGCCAAGCAGCTGATCGACGGCGACAGCCGTTACATCAGCCCCATGAATCTCAGAAAACTCCGAGATCTTTAATCGTAATTATTGGCGACCAACTGAGGCCGCATTGTCGATTGTCGCTCGTGCATTTACATGCACGCGTTGCTTCTTTGTAGCCAGATCTTGAAGTTTCAATATACTTTAAAGGACATTTGGTTTTATTTCAATCTTCATATTTATGGTTCAATGTTCATGTTGCTTGAGAAGCAAAAGATTTCTATTTAGCTAACAATGTCTAGCGCTGAGAAATCAATAATCATCGGCCTACACCCCTTTATTAACCTCTAAGTATGCACAAGTTCATCATACTAACCATTTTACATTTTTTCTAGATTGATCAATGGACATCCATTTGCTCTTCCATTAGAATCTTGAATTAGACGTGATATTTTTATTGAATCTAAAGCGCAAAGTACACTAAATTGCTCACGCACTCTTTTCTAGACTCCGTAAGTGCAGTTGTGGGTGGTTGATCTAGCACACGATGAGCTTTGGAATTTGTAAGACTTAACCCAAAGCTGCTTATTGTTGGTGAGCTACTACGGTGCATAGTCTTACCAAATCTTGACTAATGTAATGAAAGGTCCATGAGGATAATTACCGATTCAGTCCTAAACGCATTATAAGAAGCCCAATTCAGTTTTAAACTTTTCGATTTTGCTAACGTAATCCTAAATTTTTGCGCGAAATTCCAACATAATCTTCCCGACCATTTGTCGTCGAAAATTGCACGTAGTGTCCAGTAATCATCGGTTGTCCTACGTGACATGCTAACATTGACAACCCACAGATTGCCATGACAGTGATTTCCGGCGACAATTGGCTGAAAATACTACATTGAAATTTCGAACAAAAATCTAGGATTAAATTGGCCAAATTAAAAAGTTTCGGATTGAATTGGCATCATACAATACGTATTGGTAATTTTCCTAAGGTGCATGACTTGACCGCTTACGTAGTCATCAAAATTCATTTTCCTGCTAACTAAAGATTTGACTAGAAACAAGGAGTCTTTCTTCAGAGGATATCAGTCATTCCCAACAATTCCTTAATAGTAGGAACAACAGTAAAACGACTCTGGTACGTTTTTGGATACAAACAGCAAAGGATTAATCGTCTTTCATTGTTTTTTAAACTACATCTCCTAAGTTAAAAGCTCTGGCGACCTCTCAAGGAGAAATTTGTGACACGAGTTCAGTATAATATTACACTCGATTTAGATTACTGAAAGGGTGTGAATCCCATGCGAGTCTAACAAAATATAACAATCAATGTTCATTTTAGAACTTTCTAGCAAAAAAAACGTTCATTTTAGTACATGCATTAGGATCCTACAATAATTTTTTCCTCACATTGGGATTATGTTATATGTACATGAGTCGCGAGCATAACCAACTTGAATAGCATCACCCGCAAAGGTATTGCCTCCGAGTTGGTTTTGTTTGGGGAAAATCTTGCCTGGACTCGTATCCAATAATAGATGGGATCAATCATAATCTCTCGTGGCTCTACTTGTGGCACAAGATTGACCGACGTGATCGCATCCAGTTGGACGCCACGTCGGACCCATAATAGAAGTTGGGGTTATGAACCGGATGCGGTACAATCATCGATTTTATGAGACCAAAAGGTGGAGCCTCTTTCTCTGGAAAATTATCTAAAAAATCATAAATTTATTATATTTTTACCAATTTAATCATAAATCATTTAATTTTATCAATTGAGTCATAAACATTTTTAACTTTTGCCAATTGAGTTAATCCGATCAATTTTGGCAGAAAAATCACGAACGTGAACGCCGACCGTCCTACGTGGCATCGTCGGTGTTGATATGAAAAAATTTTAATAGTATTTTTTTGATTTTTTAATTAAGTTTTATAATTTCTTTTGCATTTTCCTTTCTTTTCTTTTCTTTGTTTTTTTTTTTTCTTGTTCCTCTACCGTCGTCAGCCTCCTCGATGACCGGCAATAGGCCACAGGGGAGAGCCAATGAGGGCTAATCTCGCCAACCGAGCAAGGTTCACCTTGTAGAGCCTCAACCTCGCAGGGGGGAAGTCGCTGAGGCGGGCAAGGTGCTCTCATCGGTATTTAGCTAGGGCCAACCTCTCTAGCCTTGAGCAAGGCTCGGCCTCACCAGATTCGATCGAGCCTTGACAAACCAACCTTTGTCGAGCCTCACTTGAGGCCAACGAGGTCGACCCTCACCATATACCGCCTCGGCAACCTTGCCCCTGTGAGGCTTTGTGAGGCGAGCCTCGCTCGGTTGTCAAGGTCAGCCCTCGCTGGCTCTTCCCTGTGGTCTATCACTAGCCGTCAAGGTGGCCTACGATGGAGGAAGACGAAGAAAAAAAAAGAGGAAAAGGAAAAAGATTATAAAAAATCGAAAAATTAATAAAATATTATTAAAAAGTTTCCACGTCAGTGTCTATAGTACCACGTCAGCAATTTCTGACCAAAATTGGTTGGATGGACTTAATTGATAAAACGTGAAAAGGTTTATGACTTAATTGGCAAATTTGAAAGATTTCGAACTAAATTGGTAAAAGTGCAATAGATTTATGATTGTTTGGACAATTTTCTCCTTTCTCTCGAGAAAACATTCACTCTCTGAGGATGTATGTGCACACGCACCTGCCTCGTGACTAAGGTTTGCAGCCTCAAATCAGCGACCACCTTGAAGTCAAGCGATATAAAACTAATTTTAAAAAGCTCAATAACTATATTGAAAAAAAAATCAAGATTTATATTGAACAATGAGGAAAAACTCAAAGACTCATGATGTCACCACTCTTTGTTTAAATTCAGAGCGCAAAATTGGATAAGCAAGGTAGAACCAAGGTCGCTGATCATGAAAACATAGATTATCTTCTCAAGTTATCATCCAAAAGAACCTCAAACTTCCCATGATGCAAGCTGAAAGGAACCTTGAGGAGGCCATCGACGCAATAGCAACATGCAAGGTAACAGCAAATGATGGTCATTAGATATGATGCTTCATTGCAATCATTCAATTAAGAATACCGGTGAAACTTGGGTAAACCCTAAAATCGACTTTGGAATTTGCGACCAATAAGTTTCAGGTGACAGAATATGCAGGTATCTTTCAGGTCCTAAAAGTTTGATAATTAGTTTCGATGAATAAGTTCCAAATGATATTTCGATTGATCCTAAAATCGCTCGCTCCTAATGCAAAGGAAGGGGGAGAGCGAGCGAGAACTGTGGTCATGGTCATCAATTACCGCACATAATGCGAAAGGGGGACACACAATGGCGTACCCTTTCGATAATGATTGCATCTTTGCATGAGGGAAGGAGAGAGAGAGGTGGAGGGGAGGGGAATCGCTGTCCCGCAAGAAATGGCCAAAAAGAAACAGGATGAAAAAGGAACAGGATAAAATCATCGAATCCGAAACGGGAGACTTACGTTGGGGAAGAAGGGAAGGAAAGGAAGGTAGAGAAGGGAATAGGGGCAGGCGACAGAGAGAGACGAGAGGACAGCAACATTTGTCAGTTCTTATGGGGCGACCGAACGAACAGGAGACAGCCCTCACTCAGTCACACTGTGTTCGTAGACTTGACTGGGAAGGAAGGAGTAGAGAAATTTGCAGAGAGAGAAAGGACGTCGTAGCGATGTAGATAGGCAATAGCGACAGCGTTCTCGGAGGCGAGACATATACAGGAAAGCGACTCGTGATGGGGAAGGAAGGAGGCTGACGACCGCGCGTGCCCGGACCCCCCCACACGAGAATCTTACCGACAAATGCCTCCCTCCGTCCCTTCGCTGTCACAAACCAATATCATTCTCAGTCCCTCTTCCTCTTCCTCTTTCTCTTCCGTGCGGTGCGGTGCGGGGAGGGGCGGTGCGTGCGGGACCACCCACCGCCCTTCGCCCAAGAAGAAAGCCTGGCCTAGCCATCCCCCAGAGACAGTAAAAGTCCATGGAGTGTAGATGATTTTGCATCCTGCACTGTGGGGGTGGTTTGGCTTTTTGTATGGATCAAGTGGCGACACCGGCTGAGGCTCTGTCCTTTGCCAAATCATGCTCTGTTGCTCCAACAAAAAGGGTTAGACCTGTTCAAGGATTTGGGCTTTAACTGAAGTCCAAGTATTGAATCTAGGGTTGAGTGGCTTCATAATTGGTAGATTACAAATCTAGAATCTAGAACCTATCTTGTTGATACCGGTCCCCAATTTTTCAGTTTTTGGGACGTGGAATCTACTTTGTAGAACCTGGAATCGACTATGTCGGTTCGGTTCGGTTTTAGATCTACTCGGAAACTGGCCAATTCTTTTCTTTTTGTTTCATTTTTTTTTTATTCCTTAAAAGGATAAACTAAAGTAAAACATCGTTTTATTTACAACCAAGACAAATAGCACTTACAGAAAAATAATAAAGCAACAAAAAGGGCAAGAAGTACAGTACCACAAGAACACAAGATCCAAGGTAAAACTAAAAGGAGATAATTAGAATTTCTCGGTCCCGTTCCCCGGTCTAGTCCGAATCCTCGGTTCAACCTAGTTTCGAGAAACTATTTGATTTCAAGATTAACCCTAGACTGGTGCTCACCCTTATTTGAATCTACCCTTTAACAATAAAATTGAAGAGAACTCTTTTATGATGGCAAATTTCATCTTACTTTACAAAATGTTGCCGAATAGGATCGGTCATTTCTGGTTCCAGGGTCTACCCTAAATTGGTGCTCACCCCTAGTTGGATCTATCCTTTACCTACGTGGCAAATTTCATCTTACTTTACAAAATGTTGTCTCCATTCTCGAATTTTTGGTACATCATAAGAAACTCGAAGAAAGATTAACTCTCCAACCAAAAGTGTCCAACCATGCTCTAAGGAACCCTAATTGTGAGTGCCCTTGACTCCCTCATCGAGTATATGTGTATTTTAACTAGTTCATAGATAGGGTGTAGAAGACTAAATAAATTTCACCCTTAATTCTTCATTGACCAAAAATAAAGAGCAAGAAAATGGTGTTACCTTGGTCCACCGCCACCATGCATCAAACCACCACTATCAACCATCTGTGTCGATTGCCACCGGCTATTTAGCAGCTGTTTGATGTTGCCAATGGTTGTCGTTGTTTGGGTCCTTAGGGGTGACCCGAGATCCCTCTGGTCTAGGTAACCATCGGTTGGCTCAAGACATCGTAAATCAGTTGGTCCTATATCATCGTCAATTGGAGTTGGATTACCAGTTGTAAAGGTAATCATTGGCTTGGCCTAAATCAAGCCCGCGAGGCAAGCCTAATTTGTTTCTCGGGGTTGCCCATTACCTAAACAAACGGTAAGTACATTTTAATGCGTGCATTACCGTATAAAAGTTCATCCATTTTCAAAATATTTCTCAATCGAAAAAAGATGTTTTGCATGAATAAATAAGTTCAAATCCTTCGATAGCCTATCTAAGGACTAATTCCCCAATTTCCATCATCATTGCAGGTCGTGATAACATACATCCCGATCATAATTAAAACACTAACCATCAAAACAAACACTAAAAACTTTTAGTGCATTTTGTCAAACCCAACTTCGAATTTCGATTGGATCGACTCTATCACGATCATTTCATCTCGTTTTCCAATTCCACGTGTGAAACCCGCGAGATAAATCGTTGATATTCTCAATTCGGTCCACATGCTGAACCGGCTAATGCCGATCGCCGCCGTCGGATCGGCCTGGGTTCGAGACAGGAGGAGATCATCGGACGGTAGAGGGAGGGGGCAGGAGGGGGAGTTTGGTGAGCGGGGAATGCGCCGGTGAGGGAGGTGTACGGAGGAGGAGGAGGAGGAGGAGGAGGAGGAATCCCGGTGGTGCGGACAAGACGCGTCCGGAATCAGAGGGGACGGCCCCCCAATTATTTCTCCCCGCACTGCCCCGACATCCATGATTCTCCTGTCGCTCCCTCCCCCTCTCCCTCTCTCTGTCTCTGCACTCTGCCCTTCCTTATCTCCATCTCCTTCTCTCTCCTTTGACCGGACGCGAGGAGAGAACGAAAACCCCATTCTCTCTCTCTCTCTCTTCCCCGCCTTTGACCATTCAAACCTGATCCCGCTCTCACCTTCTTCTTCACCCACCCCCACTCCACAACTCACACCCCTCACGCACGTACGGCCTGGTTCATGGTTACTTAACCCTAAAATCTTGGGTGAGATCCCCATGAAGATTTCATCAATTGGGTATGAGTTACAAATCGCTCTCGATGTTGCCATGGAAACTACTGGAGTCTTCCAAGATCTTGGAGATGGGTCTTGTATTTATCTCCAGATTAGTTTGGAGTGTCAGGTGAAAGTAATTAAATGGTCGACGTCCGCTGTTATTTTCTTGTTAAGTTTTGTCATCGAAACAGCGACGTGCCGTGGTTATAGGGCCGATCGACTATGATTTTCCAACCAATGGAATATCGGACGGTGGACTAAGGACTTGATTCATCAAAACACAGTGTATAATCATGTGTGCTCAATGAAAAATAACTAACTTTGGTACTCGTCCCGAGATTAAGTGCAAACGGGTCTTACGAATTTCTCAAGAAAATATGGTTGATGTTAGAAGATGTATATATGTTGATGATGATTTATTTTTTCTCATGGTCTAGTAGGTAATCTTGTACAGCTTTCTTTAAGTAATTTCAGCTGTGAAAAGGGTGTTATAACTTTTAAAGAGATATCTCTAACTCTTGCAGCAACCCTAATGTTACCGGTAACTTGTAAATGGCTTTTGAGAAGTAGCCTCGCCCGGTATAAAGTTACCATAGCTTTAGAACATAAATTTACAACACTTAACGAAGCAACTACAGCTATATAGAACAAGCTTTACATTTGTAGCACTTCGCAGCCATCCGTGTAATATCAAGAAAAATTACATGAGAGACCTTCGGTTCCGATGTAATTAACATCGTGTAAATGTTCCTCGAAAGAAAAAGTAAATTTGAACACAAATCCTATAGTATATAAGTTCAATATTATGAGATTTCAGATTATTCGATAACTATAATTGCGATCCGTTTAGTTCACTTAATTTGTGCAGTTGCCAATCAATCTACAGCTAACATAGATGTAAATAATTAAGAATCAATGTGTGCAATTGTCAATCAATCTACAACAATATACAACGCGCCAAAGATAGAAGCTTCAGGGCAATTATTAAGGAGTGTCTCGAGGTACTTGCTGATTATCCAAATAAAGTAATTTTGTCATTCTTGAAACGTTGTTTTCTTCGTTTTTGCGCTATAAGTGTATTGAAAATGAAGACCTTTCTTTGTTAGGTGCGTTTTCCCCTGAGGGCACTTGTTAACAAGTGTCGTTGATACTCGCCGACAAGACATTAACACAAAAAAAAAGAGAGGACATCACTTCGTCTCTAAATTCAGGAAAGGGGTGATCCCGATACGGATACGAAAAATAAAACCCGAAGAAATGGCACGACGAATTAAGCATACCAAGATTAGCCACTAAAATAACTAATAATAGCCCAATGAGTTCGAACTTATTAATCAATCGTGCGTTCTTACATCTCGCAATCCGCGGCATTAGTTTACCCTAGAACAAATAGCACCTCTAACCATTCTGAAGTACTAATAAAATGCCCTGAAACTGGCCGTTGAAGAATTGCAAAACACATAAAGTTTGGGAAGTTTGTCCCACCAAAGTTTTTCTAGCTTAAGTGTTAGGAAACAAGTGACAAAACTTGACAATGAAGCAACTCGGCGGATACCCTTTTATAGGAAATTATATGGCGGAAAGGTCTACAGCATCATCAACAAGGAAGTTGCACCAGAAGCTTCCACTCATGTAGGTTAGCAGTGCCTTCTCGAAGTGGGTCACCTTTGAGGAACAAGTCGTTTTTTGCATTTTAGTGCTTCTTTTCATGTGCGTGAGAAAAGATTGATCTTGCACATTCCCACGAGTTCGAGAGACAATAATCCGTATAAGTTGTTTTTACTTCCCAAAAGGGTTTATGCAAGCGAGGGTTTTGATTGTATTTACGAAGCTTCGTCGTTTAAATATGCAATTGCAGACGCATTTATTCATGTATGTATGTATATATGTATGCTATGCATATTGTTTTAGGGAAAATGGCTCGAATAATCCTTGAACTTTTAATTTGTTTGGCGTGGTCTCTGAATTTAAACGTGGTTTCTATAGTTTTAATTTGTTTAATGTTGTTCCTAAGCTTTGAGTAGTCCATGAACTAAATGAAGATGTTTAATATTGTCCTTGATTTTGAATTAACGGAAGGACTAGATTGAATATTTTCATATAATTCAAGGATTATATTGAACATATATAAAAAGTATAGGGACCACATTGAACAAATCAAAAGTTCATGGACCGTGTTGAACATCGGGCTAAAATTTACGGATCACATTAAACAAATTAAAAGTTTCAGAAACTACGTTGTACATTGGGTCAAAGTTAAGAGACAATTTGTGTCATTATCTAATTGTTAAACATATGAAACAAATACATGGGCAAAATCGATACTTTTTGTGTGTGGAAGCTAAAGAACATTTGACACGAGTCTATCTCTCTTGGACAGGAATATCTATGCTACTTCTCTGAGGAGGCATCATGCTGTGGTTTTCTCAACATTGGTTGCTTCAAACCCAATTTATGATGATAACTTTAATTTGATCTCAAATGAATGTACGGTCAATTATCATGATTAGATTCTTAAAATCGAAAACCACCGCCAACCGCCGCCGCACACTCATAGCTTTTTAACGGGGAAATATTTCATCTTCCGAAAAGCCAATCGGGGGTAAACCTTCAGTTCGTCCAAATGGCACGCGCATCATGTGTGGTTTCCTTGGACTGCGGACCCATCTGCGAACAGACGGCAATTAAGGCCTAGGAACCAAAACCTACGACAGACAAAACTAGAACAGAAGCATGGAACCATTTCATCAAATTGGCTTGGAGTTCGTTTAGTTTAGGTGATCATAATAAATGCAAGGACCAATCCAAGAGCCATCCCTACAAAGATGCTAGCCCAAGGTTTCGAACCGACGACTGACTAGCTTGTTGTGATTTTGTCTCATGTGAAGGAATGATGAAGCCGCACTATCCGCTGCAACATCTACTGAAAAACAGCCGACTCAGTCAAAAATTATTCTCCCCCACCCGAAGACAAAACAGAGAAGAAAATGAAGAAAGAAAAGCAGAAACGTGAATTTTCTCTTCTTTGAGCCGTCTGAAACCAAACAGCATGATGTCGTGCATAACAGAAGCCTGTGCTAAAGCTGTGCACTCCCCTCTGCACATATCATCTCTCTCTCTCTCTCTCTCTCCCTCCTCTCTCTCTCTCTCTACGCTACCAACCATAAAACCCCACCTCCACCACCACCCTCCACCACCAGATATCAAGAACTCGGCCACCAACTTGCCCTAGCATTTTCAAGAACTCCCCAGAGATCAAAGAACCACCTGATACTGGTGTCTTCCTGCTGCGTGCCCGATATGCCGTCGGAGTGCGCCGACCGCAAGCCTGCGAAGGCCCCCCAAGGCCACGGCCACGCGGCCGGGGCTGCTCCCCCGCCGCAGCAGGAGCAGGAGCACCTCCCCTGCCCGCGCTGCGACTCCATCAACACCAAGTTCTGCTACTACAACAACTACAACTTCTCCCAGCCCCGCCACTTCTGCAAGTCCTGCCGCCGCTACTGGACCCACGGCGGCACCCTCAGGGACATCCCCGTCGGCGGCGGCAGCCGCAAGAACGCCAAGCGCTCACGCACCGCCCCCTCCTCCTCCGCCTCCGCCGCCGTCGTGCTCCCCGGCGTCGCTCCTCCCGACCACCACTTGTCCGCCGCCTCCCTCCTCCTGCCCTTCGCCGCGGGCCACGGCGGGTCCGTACACCTCGCCGCCGGCGATGGTAACGGGAAGCCGAGCTTGAACGTGTGCGGGAGCTTCACTTCCCTGCTGAACGCTCACGGGCCTCCTGGGTTCCTGGCCCTGGGCGGGTTCGGGCTCGGGCTCGGGCCGGGCGGGCTCGACGACATGGCGTTCGGGCTCGGGAGAGGGGTCTGGCCCTTCCAGGGTGTGGGAGACGGTGGCGCCCACGCCGTAGGGGGCAATGGCGGGCCGGTGGGGATCGGGAACGCGTGGCAGTTCGAGGGCGGCGAGGAGGGCGGGCTCGTGGGCAGCGCTGGCGGCGGAGGCGGCGATTCGTGCTTCTCCTGGCCGGGCCTGGCAATCTCCACCGCATGGAGCGGCCTCAAATGAGCGTTGTTACATGTTACATTCCCATCTCTTCCTCTTCAATATTACTCTCTTTCTTTTTTCCTTATAGAGTTTTTTAGGGTTTAATCAGTTTGCTAGGTGTGAAAAGAAAAGAAATGCAAGATCTTTTAGAGATATGTCCGATCCCCATCTCCATGTAATTTGAGGAGTTTATGCTGTACCGTTTTGTTGATGCTTGTATGGCATGGAAAATTTGCTCTTTAACATTACCCTCTTAGTATAAGTCAGTCTAGCTTTTTCTTATTATTATTTCAAATTCTATTAAATGAGGTATGAATCCTTACAGGAAGTTTGAAAGTTGGATTGATAAGTTTGGCCAAATTGTGGTGATAGAAAAAGTTTTGCAGAGGAAAGCTTTTTTTCAATTTGAATCTTAAGGAAAAAAATTGCAATATGTGAGATTCTTTTTGGCCCAATTCCCTTAAAAAAAAAAAGTCTACTTGGGTCCTAAATTTTCAGAGCATCGATTCGAGGTGTTATTTCACGTGTACTCAACGACTTGCAACATGGTTGTTGTTGCCGGAACCATTGTCAAAATCCTAACCAAGCAAGAGGAGATAACGTGCACATGAAGCTTGGATTTTGGCGACAGAAATGGAAATGGACAGAGGAAATGACTTCTCTCATGGGCAACCGAGGCACGAACATCGATTCGCTAGATCCGAGCATGTTTGAAAATTGAGAAAAACAGAACCTTGAACTCGCGATCGGTAGCTTTCGAAAATAGGAGAAGCTCTCGGATTGTACGATCCTTCCTCTTCAACATAGCTGTGAGTTGCTGAATACGTGTGGAATGACACGTTGCATCTTTCACAATATCACTGAACGAAAGCTGGATGGGGTTCATACTTGGATACCGACCGAAAGTTGGTACCCTTTTATGAGATAGAATTGCGATCCAGTTTAAAGTTGGTATGATTTTTTTTCATGAGACAAAAAGAATTTGGAACATCATCGAAACATGAGGTAAAGTTGCGGCTTTTGAAGTGAATATGGCCGATTCTTTTCATGTTCTTTTTGGGTCAAGAAAGACGAGCTTCAGGCATAAAATTTTAAGAGCAAATTGGAGGACATCCTTTGTGTTTTGTCAAAAATGGAAAATATGCCTTCAGAGTTTGAAAATGGATAGTAACACTCTTGCTCTCAGTTCCAAATTTTGCCACACATCGTAGATTGCCATATTTGAGAAAGAGGATCCACCACTAGATGGGCCTGACAGCTCGAAGAGCCCACTGAGGCCCAACGTCCATATATATCCGTTGAAAGAGGGTCCGCCATTGCCCGACCGGGTCGCCGATCATCTTCCGACACCGGAAACTGTCGTAAATCCGCTCAAATCGAAGAACGTAGAAAGAATTCGTCGGTTCGATCTGAACCCGGATGTTCTCGGGTCTCTTCAATGCTCCGAAATGCAAGTCATTCCGGGAGTCGTGGGACTCGGATCTCCCGGCCTTAGCCAATAGTCCATCCTTTGCCACAACTTGGGATCAGACCAACACTGTTCCCTATATCAAGACTTTAAAATTCACTTGTGTAGCTGTCGGGAAATGAGTTGATCCCTTGTGATTTAGCACCCTATTTGCTCTCCGCAATGTGGAACTCACAAAAAACTTTAGACGATGTGGCGATTTTTGTCCCAGTGACCACGGTTGTGTCTCGATCGGTGTCGACATCGGCCTACCCTCCTTCTGCGTCGAATTGGAACGCCCACGTGGCTCCATTCATGCTACCTTTGGCTCAGTTATTAGTTGCCGACAATTACCCTCTTCTTTGCAAAATGTACCCTTACGTTGTCTGCCGCGACAGTCCAGTTCACGTCCCGTTGGACCATGCCCTGATCAACACGATAGAGGTGGTCACGATGGACGGGGCTCTCGGGTACACAAACTTGTTTGACACGTTGATCGATGGGTTTTGTTGGGCGTTGGAGAAGGTATTAGTAGTCTGCCCTAGGAATCAATCAAAATTGATACTTTAATATTAGTTGTGGATTAGGTTGTGTCGGAAAACCGACCTTCATTATACTTAGATAGTCATAATGTCTTGCTAGAGACTGCTTATGACTTGTGGGTCAAAAAGGGTTTTGAGCACACTGCTAATGTTTAGTGAACCTACAGGGTCGCACACAATAACGAACTGAGTTAATATTTTCTGTGCACCGGGATCTACTTAAAATAAGAAGTAGATTTTAATTTATTCTCCTGTTCAACTTATCTACACGGTCGTGCACGTTATGAGATAACGATTAAACGTACGATTGAAGTGGACAGTTTGGCGGGCTCAAATCGCCCGGCCCCACTTCTTTTAATTCGCGTAGATAATGAGGCTATATATATATAGCGTGTGGGTGAAAAAGAACCCTAAGAAAAAATGCCTCCAAGAGAATACGAAAAGAATCGTTTTCTATTCAGAGATCTTTGAGAGAGTCTCGAAGATCAAAGGCGATCAGGAAAAAGAAGTTCAAGATCTTTAGCTAGCACTTGGATCGTTGGAGACTTCCGTTCGTGTGTATGGATACCGGTAGAGGCGCAACACTTAGGGCGCTAATCCAGACACAATCGATTGTCAATTTACCTTCGATCTGCAAAAAAGTATGTGTCGAACTTCTGTTTAGATTTCAATATACGCATGAATCCTGTCTAGGGTTTCGGTTTATAAATTTCGCTGCGTTTTTAGCACTTGAGGAACCCAACAGAAGGTCGGAGCAGCAAGTGTCACGGTGGTCGATGAGTAGTCGGTGACACTAGGCGGCTATCGATCGGGCCGAAGAGATGGATACATGGTTGAATGCCTGGACCTATAACAAAAACTTTGGTGGGTCACATCATATCCAATCTAGGGACACCAAAAAGGCCAGAGAAGGTGAAAATATTCACTAGTATCATACTACCAAGTCATTGTCCTACATGGCAAATATGCTCCATTAAAAAAATGACACGTGTCAAGTGACGTGAAAATTAAAAAACAAAAAATTAAAAGTTTTCAGGCTTGCCAGCGTCTCCTCTCTCTCCTTATTAATTACATGCGCGCTCTCTTTCTCTTTTCTATGTCTTCTCCCCCATCTTCTCTCTTTTTTTATTTCAAAATTTCACGCCTCACACCTCCCTCTCTCTGTCTCGCAAAATCTGATGATCATCTCTGGACGACCATCTCTGAATGTGTTGCTGGAAATTGATGGAGGCTTGGTGGAGTGGAGTCGGGGTCGGAGGGTTGATGGCATGAGCTTCCCTCTAAAGAAAAGGTCGTTGGAGAGAGAGACAGATGTGAGTCGTGATTCTAGCCGGACGACCCAAACGAGAGGCGAAGTCAAACTCCCTATCGATGTCATCACCGTCCTCGTCACCATCTCCGCATTCACTGGCAGTAACATCTTCTTAGTTGCCCGCTTGTTCTGCTTCCGTCTCTCCTCTTCCTCCCACTCCTCTGCCTCCGTTATGAGGTGATTAGGTGATTAGTTAAGCAACACCATCGGTAAGCTTACATTTCTGCCGCTCTTGACTAGTGCAACCTTACCACTGCCGCTGCTGTTGACTAGTGCTTGAAATTTGTTGCCCTTAGTTGCCCTTGATTTTGTGCATCGTTAAGGGAGAGAGAAAATCGCTTGGGAAAAAAAAAGGCCTTTTTCCTAAACGTGGTTGAACTTCGCTCACCTTTGCCCGTTGTCGTTAGCCATTAGGTCTCGAGAGGGTACAAAACCAACCCCGTTCTTTTTTGTTTTGTGTCCGGAAACATTGAAGAGGCGAAGCCGTGCTTGATTGTTGTTCATAGTTTGGACATGAGTCGAAAGTGCAAACGACCTATTCGACAAATTGTTCATGAGATTTATTTGCAAAATAATACTTTCTACTGTCGAATCCGAAGATTAATCGAAGTAGTTTGCATGTTATAAACCGATTAATGGTCATTGAGTGTAATTTCTTAGTCACCGAGAGTCTCTTCTGTCTTGTATTTTTTTTTTTTTTTAAGAATGAAGAAAGCCTTGACATGCTGAGAATCAGTTTAGCGTAAAGCATTTTCATGAGCATTTTGTTTCATAACAAAGGCTTGTGTGATGTACCTTCTTCGCCTATCTTCTATTTTGTATAAAATGACGGCTTGTCCACTGGTGGTAAACTTGCCATAGCCATATTGTGTCTTGTTGTGTTCCATGTGCTGCTTTAGGTGGTATACATATGCTGCATAAGGAGGGGAGGCATGATTATGACTTTGCACTGCCCTTATCTCTAATGGCTGGTTTTAGATAGTACGTTTGCTTGGTCAATTTATAGTAGGAACAGAAATTAAAAGAAATCACCACACCGAATCCTGAACACAACACAACCAAGCAACTATTCTCGTCCTATTATATTATTACTCCTTTTTGTCACTTTATGTCATTAACACTTTTTTTTTGGCATTTATACATAGCACTCTCGGTGGTAGTCACAGTGTACTAAGAGTACACTACAACGGTTGACAAGGTGATTTCTATGCCATGGTATGCTGCTATTTCCTTTTTGGTCTACAATATCAGACATTTTCTCCTATCTTCTTTTAAGTTGTAAACGTCTGTTTCATGGTAAATGTTGATTTGAAGAAGTGGAAGCATATTCTAGTCCCCCGTAGCTAAATCGACTTGTTCTCGGGATAAATGGGTATGACTTCATCTTTTTAGAATGAAATTTGTTTCCATTTTATCTTTCTTCTCTAAATAATTAGATATTTTTTAAAATTGTAGAGGCTCCATAAGATAATATCATCGTGCATAATGTTGATCAAGAATTTGAATTTAGAATTGGCATGGTGTTTGCTAATGAGGACGAAGCTTATAATATATACAATGCATATGCAATTTGCAAAGGATTTGGAGTGCGAAAAGGACAAAAAGCAAATAATAGCAAAGGAATACTGCGATGATGCAAATTTGTTTCTAATTGTGAAGGACATTCTCCACCGATCCCACCTCATGAGCAAAGAGATGTTTATAGGACAATGAAGAGAACTGGATGTCAAGCTTATAGTAAATTCATAATTGAAGATAGAGTTTGGGTAGTTTCTAAGTTTGAGGATGTCCATAATCATCCCTTCATTGAAGACAAACAAAAACATCTTACACGATCATATCGACGCATCACGGATACTAGTAAAGGTATATTGACTTCCACGTTAGGGGCTGGTATAAGGGCTACGAAAGTATATACCTACCTTAGTGGTGAAGCGGGGGGACCGGAAAATGTTGGCTTTACATTACGCGATTGTCAAAATTTCTTGCAATCTAAAAGAAGGAACTTGATTAGTGCGGGGGATTGTCAAAGTCTTATTAACCATTTTAATTGCTTACAATCAAATGAAAGCAATTTTTCTTATACATTTCAATTGGATGAGGAACAAAGACCGACCAATTTCTTTTGGTCCGATGGTATATCCAAGTTGGACTATGAAAATTTTAGAGATGTGTTGATATTTGATACCACTTACAGTACAAATAAGTACAATATGATATGTGCACCATTTGTTGGCTTGAATCATCATTGGAAAAATGTTCTATTTTGTTGTGCTTTTTTGTCAGATGAAATTATTGGTTCTTTTGTTTGGGCATTTTGATCCTTTTTTGAGGTGATGGGTAATAAAACACCTAAGACTATTTTCACCAATCAAGATCATGCCATGCCAAATGCTATTAAAACTGTTTTTCCGAATTTTGATCATCGCTTATGTGTATGGCATATTGCGAAAAATGCTACGCATCATACTGCACATCTTCTTAGAAAGCCGGGTTTTCGTGACAAATATTGGCAAAAGCTTCTATATCATTGTGAATTTGAATTGGAAATGGAGAACACTTGAAAAGCAATGTGTCAGGAGTGGAGCCTGGGTGACGGCAAGTGGTTGGATAGTTTGTATCAACTGCTTCATAAATGGTGTCCTGCATTTGGCCTTGATTTCTTTTATGAAGGAATTAGATCTACACAAAGAAGCGAAAGCACAAATAGTGTCTTTCAAGATATGGCATGTCAGACCATGACCTTGATTGGATTTGTCAAACATTATGAAAAGCAGGCTGAAAAAATGCGCAATGCTGAAGTTGTTGATGATTTGGAGTGTGCTCGAGGAAAGCCACGAATTATGGTTGACAATGCAATTTTGCAACATGCTGTAAGCATATATATTCATGTCATTTATAGGAATTTCCAAGCCGAGTTCATGCATGTTTTGTCTGTACATGTTCTTAGATCAGAAACTGATGGGCCGTTGCACACTTATATCATGGGAACCGGAAGTAGTGAATGGAAGCATATTGTCCATTTTTGTCCAAGTGATTTTATCATTACATATAGCTACAAGTTATTTGAAATGCGAGGATAGTTGTGTAGGCATACTTTATGCATCTTGACCCGTGTTGTAAATGTTACAAGCATTCCATCGCAATACATTTTGAAGAGGTGGACAAAAGTCGCAAAACAAGGGACTTATTGTGATGATGTTGCACAAAGCTCTCGTCATGCGGTTAAATCAAAGACATTGCGTTTGAAGAGGTTGATGCGGTTAGCTTTCAGTGTTATGAATGACAGTGCCAATCATGATGTTACATGGGAGCTTGCAACTACAACCTTGTTGCGTCTTCGCTCCCAAATCACAAAAAAAATGTAATCTTTAAGGGGTAAAGATCATGTTGATTTCTTGGTGGAAGGTGATGAAGCTGAATATGCAAAAAATCGTGGAATTCAAGTACTTGATCCACTTCGGATAAGGCCAAAAGGTGTACCAAATACTCGGATCAAGGGCGCTGCGGAAAAGAGAAAGAGAAAAGCGTCTTCATTCACAGGAGGCACCTTGCACAAGGTATGATGCTTGTTTAACGTGACAAAATGATTCCATTAATTATTTTAGCTCATTTTTGCATGAAGTAATTCTAATACTCTCATTTTTTTGCAGGATTGACATTTGACAAAATTTGTAGTTATTAGTGTTGATCTTTCTCAAGGTAAGCCACATATGCACTGCGTAGACATATCTCAAATTCTTCTCAGTTCATTATTTGAAGTAAATCAAGTAGAATATGTAGAGGAACGTTGTTACAACTTGAATGTCATTTTAACCTCTGCCATAAGGCAATTCAAGTTGCCTACCTAGTCCTGAATCGCCCATTTTTTCCGCCCTGGTTTCTACACTATGATGCCTTCATTGTTTGGATTGCTTTTTTTTCACTCTGGTTTTGCTAGTGAACATGTTTGACCTGTCAAAGATGAAATTTGACATTTTGGAGCATGATTTGAACTTCAACATTGTAAGTAGAAGTAATGACAAGAAATGTTTGCAATATGTTGCAGCCACTTGAGGGAATTTTGTACGACGAACCGCCGTGAGAAGGAGGTTGCCATCGACAAGTTGAGAGAGAAATGGTCCACAAAATCAAAGAAAGTTGGAGGAGGGAACGCAGCAGAATGAGCAAGATGAAGGATGGCTTTTGACTTTGAAATGATGAGACTAGTTCTCCTGAAAGTGTAGGTAGTTAACTAACTTCAGTTAGTGCAGCTTCTGGGTCTTTTTGCTATGAGCATGCACTTCTACATAGGGTAGGATCGATTGGCAAACTATTTTTGGGACTTGTACAGTTCACTGCTCCTTCTAGAATCAACAATGCCATATTTTGATGTTGAATTGCTGTTGATCAATACAACAATATGCTTTTGGGTGTAAGCAGTTATTTATTTTGGAAATTACGTCTCGGGTATTATACCCACTGAACTACTATTGGCACCCTCTAATGTAACTAAATATTCGTCAAATGTTCTTTATGTATGGATTCATGAAAGTGATGATTTGGATATGTTCAGGATTCAGTGTGGTGATTTCTTTTAATTTCTGTTCCTACTGCAAAATGACCAATCAAATGTTTAGATGCAAACTGCACCGAGGGTTCTTGAATTGTTGACTCGGATGCCTCCAGTCGCTTTAGTACTCGAGTGTTCATGTCTTCAACAGACTTTAGAACAGGAGAGAGGTCAACATACAAGCCCTTCACATTGTTGTCACTTACATTCTCTTCGCAGGAAATGCGTTTGGATGAGACAAGCTTGGAAACTAAAGACCAACCATTAGTATGAATTCTTGGAGATTACTTTCTGCGGTTATTGACACCTAAATTTGGTCTAATCATTTAGGGTTTTATCGCATAGAAAATTAGGGTTTAATTTTTAACTCCTAAACCAAAATATTTTCATTAAAATTGCATGGCATATAGAGATTAGGTGCATTTACATTAATAGAGTCTATTAGAACATATAAAAAAAAAGGGTTTCCGGGCCAGGTTAGTTGGCCCATTCTTTTTCTTCTCTTTTTATCTTCGCGCGGCCCATCCTTTGTTTTATTTTTTTTTCGCGCGGGCCGGCCTTCTCTCCCCGGGCCCCGGCCCGCGTACTGTTCACCTTCTCTCCCCCCAGCTTGCTCAGCGTTTCTGAGCGTACGGGGGAGAGGGAACAGAAGCCAACAGAAGCCAAAACGAAAAAGGGGGAGCGGAGGCCAGAGGCGCGGGGCATACCGGCGTGATCCTCGGGTTGGGATCAGGACCGGCCGCGGTAGGCTGGCGGTGGCAGGGGTCATGCTGGCCTGCCTGCTGGCCAGCCTTAAATCGGGGGAGAAAGGAGAGAGAGATCGGAGGGAGAGAATGAGACCGAGAGTTCTCGAGAGAGTGAGATTCGGTGATTAGGCAGCCTTCCGTCGGTGACCGCCACGTCTCAGCTGTGGCCGGTGAAGCTCCGACCCGTTCTATTTCTCGTGGTAGGTCCCGGCCTCGAGTTTTCGTCGAGTTTTTGTTCGATTTGATTCGGGGTCGATTTTCCGAGGATTTTGGCTCAGAGGCGTGCGGGGCGACTGGACGAAGTCCGATCTATCACATTCGCTCCCCGTTCGCCGCCGCCAAGCCGGATAGGGAGCGCCGCAACGGCCGCCCCTCCTTCCCCTGTTTCTCGGGCTCACTGGTCGGAGCTCACAACTGTCCGGCTCGCGCGAGTTCCGGCCAGTGATGCCTCATGTTTGCTCCCGCTTGCTCTTGTGGCTTGTGTTGAGAATCCTGGTTCGTTTTGAGCCCCGGTCGAATAGAGAATCTTCCGTTTTCGCGGCACACCCCACCTGTTTGTTGTAATGTCCCAAAAGGTTTATTTTTCACACTTGGTCGGTAATGACGAGACGAACAGCGACTGGGCATGGGCTCGACTGCAGAGAGACGAAACCCGACCATGTAGGCCGGGCGGACATGGGTCGAGCAACGGCTGAGCCTGCTTGGCCACAGGACCACAGGCCCTGACCATGGAGGTCAGGGCATGTTGAACGGCGGCCGAGCACGGGCTCGGCTGCCAGACCAGAAACCCCGACCGCGGAGGTCGGGGCTCGAAAGAGTCGATACACGGGCCGGTCGGTGCAAGCGCGGCAGCAGGAGGCGTGGCATCGGGCGACGGCGGGAGGCACGGCGTCAGGCGGTGGTAGGAGGCACGGAAGCTGGGTTTCCAAGCGAATCGGGTCGGTAGCTAATGCTCGGTTGGGCACTCGAGTCGCGAGCGCTAGGGTTTTGGCATTCGGGTCGGCGGCCGCGAACCGGGTCGGTCGAATGGGTTGTAATCGGGTAGGGTTTGGCTCTAAGGTTTCGTTTAAATGGGCTAGAATGGGTTGTGGGCCAGTGTATTTAGGGCTTTAGGGTTCTATTTTCTTGTTGGGCTATGGGCTTTTGTTTTTTTCTTTTTTTAAAAAGAATTTCGGGTTGGGCCCTTTCCCTTTTAAAAAAAAATTTGCCAAATCGGGCTCAATAAATGAGCCCGGTTCGGTTGTGGACACGGGCCGGTGCGCCCGGGTCAGTCTTGATCCGGGTCGAATATGGAGATCCGACCCGGGTCCGTTTTTATATTATTTTAATATTAAAAATGTTTTTTTTTAAAAATTTAAAAATTTTAAAAAAATTTCGAAAAATCAAAAAATATTATTTGGACTTTGGAATTGGTTTTTCTTGCCCTATTGTGTGATTGGTGTCATGTTTGATTGCACGTTACTTGATTCACACACTTTGAATTGCGCGTTTAATTTAACATCGCATGTAGTTGATTAGGCATGTTAGGTTCTTGTGTTGATTATTGCTTACCCTAGTTTGGTTAGGAATCGAATTTTGAGACTTTCGATTAGTGTGATCACATTAGGCGGTAATTGAACAAGGTTAGGTACTGAAAGGGCACTAATTGGTCAATTAGTGTAATCAAGTCCCACTACCCATTGAATCTCTGGTTCGTAAAAGTGAAGCATTTCTCCCGTGTTTTACTTGGGTGTCTAATCGACCTACCAAAAACTGATTAGTGACAACTCCTAAATGAAATTGATTTGCATGTTAATAACTTAAACTTAAGTCGCGAATTGGTATGGGCTTGGGAGAGCTCGAGCTAGGTTTAACTTAGTAATCCATTAGCCAAACCACTTAGGCGGCGAGCGCCGGTTCGGGGAGGTCGCGACAGTTTGGCGACTCAGCTGGGGAATTTGAATAGAATTCTTAGTGGACTTAGGCCGTTTATCTTGTTCAATTATGTTCCTAATGTGAATGTTGTTGCAGTTGGGAGTTATAAGGTGATGAGTAATTGTTGACCCCTTGTTTTGTAGGTTTGGGGTTTGGGAATAAATGTTTATTTTTTTGAACTCTTGAAGTGTTATTTGTTTATAAACTATTGTGCATGCTTTAAATGTTTTAGCACTACATTGTTGCACACACAACCATGCTACCGGACTTGGGCCGCGATAGGATACTTTAGGATGGTGTTAAGAAAGATACAACCTCGAACGCGAGACTGGGATGTAGAGGTTGCCTTTTTTTTCCCCGAAAATTCTCTCTTGGTGTCGTAAGTGTTTATCCTTGTCCGCGAGACTGCGTGACTATAGGATACTCTTTCGACTGAGCCGGAGTTAAGAGGGCTTGACACCAACACAAGACTGCGACGGTCAAATCACCCTCTTAGCTTCACCTTGTTAATCTGTCTTGATAGAAATCGAGCATCACTCCTCATGTGCATGTCCTTGTGTTTGCCATGGTTCTTGATAGAGTAAGCCTTTTTATCCCTGTTGTTACGCAATTCATTTATTTCCTTTCGTTGGCCCATGGCAAATTAGGTTGGTCGTTAGTCTCAATCTATATACGATGGGGAGAGCCGATGTCCAATTTATTTCCACTCCCAAGAAAGAGCTCATAGGGTGGTGGCATCAGTTGGATCAAGGTGGCCGAAAACAAGTCGAGGCAAGGATTGGTCGTCTCCTCCAGTTACTCGAGATCAACATCCACTTAGGAGTTATACAAGCAATAACACACTTTTGGTGCCCCCAGACATCAACCTTCATATTCAATGAGTTCGAGCTAACTCCGACCTTGGAAGAATATAGCACTGCCATTGGAATGCTTCTTGGGACCGAACTTGTCAAGCCACCCGTAGGTATAGACCCCATGTCTGAGTTGTCGCAATTCCTGAGAGTTAGAGCCGAGGTGGTAAGGAAGGTTGTTAAAGCTAATTGTTATGCGTGTCCATTCTCGTTTTTGGCCGAATGCTTTTCAAATCAACCGATGGCTCAAAAGAGTAGGATTTTCATTTTAGCATTTGTCGGGCTCATAATTTTTCCTCATCGTAAGAATGTCATAAATCCTTCAATTGCTTGGGTAGTCAAATACATGTGTCCCGGGTTAAACTATGTCAACATGATTTTAGCTGAAACATTTTTGTCTCTTAACCGTTTTAAACAAAACGGAGAAAAAATCATACGGGCTTCTCTGGAAATTTTGCAAATATGGTTTCTTTCTCATATAAGGGGATTTGGGCACCTTATGCAATTGTTTCAAATAGACGAGTTTATGCACCCAATACAAAGGTTTTAGGTCTTAGAGAAGCATTCTCCTGACAAAGAATATTCTCGTTGGGTAAATTTTCTAAAAGACCGAGTCTCAAGGCATTTCTATGGCATGCTAAACGGTTCCGGGTTGAGGAAACCCGCTTCGCTCACAAGTTTACCAATCTGATCCCGCTGTTCGGTCTCTCTAACGCTACTTCATATTACCTGTACAGGGTGGCCTGCCAGTACCGAGCTCTTCAAGAAATCCCACCACCTCTCAAGACGGAATTGTTCTAGGCTCGCTTCACCCGGACAGACTACGACTACTTCGACGAAATTCGCGCAATCGAGATTGCATGGAGTGAATGCCATCCGGAAAGAATTGTCGTGCCCAAGAAGTTGAAGGAGTAAGAGGAGATTCACCACGCCTCCACATATTACATTCTCAATCACCGGATTCCGGCCATTCTGCGGTCGATAGTCCCGGAGGTGACTGACAAGGCCACTCAGAAAGCGCGGATTGAGCGTCTTGAAAAGAGGGTGAAAATGGACAAGACTCGCATCTCGAAGTTAACTCAAGAGAACAAGTGGCTTTGCAAAGCCGTGGACTCCCCATCACATATAGAATGAGTTGCCTCGAGGAGTTCGAAAAGTCACTTCCACTCCAGTTTCGATGTTTAGGAGGTTCCGTTTCTTTTTCTAGTGCCAATGTTTAGGGAATTCCGTTTTTCTTATGTTCTAGAAGTTTCATGTATTCTACTAGTTTAGGTGTTTAGGTAATTTCTTCCTTTCTATTTTAGAGATTTAGGACTTGTTATGTACCTTCCTTGCTTCAATGTCCAGGGAATTTCATTTTCTAATTTCAATGTTAAAGAGTTTTCATTCCATTTATTATCTTTAATGTTTTTTTTAAATAAAAAAAACGTCCCAATCTCGATATTTAGAAAGTTTTCTCTCGAGGAGCATAGAACGCCTAGACCATTGC